GACAGCAAGAAAGACAAATTCCTAATGCAAGAAATTGTATATGGCTTATAAAGTGATATTATCTCATCTATCTTATCTACAAACTCCTCACAGATAACACTCCTATAGGAGCTCCATGTGTTCGATAAACTCTTATCGCCAAAACGTTAAGAGTTGGGTTTTTTTCCATCTTCGTGCAGTAAGTTAAAAAAATAAAACCTGGAAAAAAATCATGATATTGACAATTTAAAGAAGAGCATTGCAGAAAAATAATGTCTTTTTTTCAAAGAGCTGATCGGTAAGAACAATCTTTCACTGTAATTCTTGTTTGAATGCATTTATTAATTCATTTGTGCTCGGGCCTATGCAGTTAGAATTTTAAAAGCAGCCTAGCAAGACCAAAGGTCTTCAGTGCCACTTTTCTCAGAAGCATATTAACTTTCCAGTATGTTTTGGACACTGGGGAAAATACCCAACCATCTGGTGATAACAGTAAGAACATACAAACTCCACGCAAATACTGTAGCTGGGCCCCAGCACTGAAAGACAGCAATGCTAGCCTTCTTGCTGCCCCTTACCAGATCATAACAATATATAATCTTTCCCAACCTGGAAGTATAATTGTTTGATAATTTACCAAATCACCTTTTATTGTCATAAGTGTTTTACAAATTCTTATCACAAAAGTATTATTATTATTATTATTATTAGTAGTAGTAGTATTTTGACACTATTGCCAGAACCTGGTAACAAGGCAATGTATTTTTCAATGCTGTCAAAACCCTGTGAGACAATTATATATGAAGTATAGAAGCAACAGTAAATTGCATACTGTGTCTAAAGTGACAGCTTGTGACTGGATTAGCATAGCTTTAAATTTGATCCGTTTTTTCTTCCATACTCTTTCATCTTATTTTTAAAAATTATTTCACCCCTGTTTGCTAAATATCTGTTCGTGACTTCATGAAAAGGTTAGTGGAAGGCGAAGGAATCAGATTTGTCTCTAAACAATCTTTGGGAGTTATTTTTTCTTTAATAGCACCACTGTGGTCTTGTACTTAAAGGCCAAGTCAGCCAAGAACCCGAATCTGCTAAACAGATGGGCTTTTGGGACGTAACCTTTATTTGCCCCAACAGTGAAGCAGGCTGACATTAAAAAGAGAACGCAAATTACTTCTGAAACTCCAAGCTACACGTGGAAGTGAGACAGCCTGTCTCTGACCCCGGGACACTGCATGTGCTGCCTGGCATGGGGATGATTGTCAGCATGGTGGTCAGAGGCCAGCAGAGTGCAATCACGTGAATCACAATGACTGTGCTTGGTAGCCTGTGGGAGACCGAAAAGGGATGTTGACTGTCTATGACTTTCACTGATATCAGCATCACGGCAGCAATTGCAGGGTACTGGACTTTGCTGGCTGTCTTTTAAACAATCTCTCTTTACATACAGTATACAAGTGTCTGCCATGCAAAATGATCAACTATACACTGTATGCAGACAGCAGTGGTAAGGCATAAGAACAATGAGATGGAGCACCTTCTTGATGGCTGAGCTTTATGCGTCGATATCATAGCACCTCTAACAATGAAATATATGCACAATCATATCAAGTCATTTAAACTCCCTTTGTCAACTAGATATACACATAGTACAACACTGAAATATATTATCAAGATATTATATAATATAAATATATTACAAAACTGAATCACAGAGAAAAAGTTGTAGAAAAATAGTTGATTGTGTTTAGACCTTTGGTAGCCTCTGTAGTTTAGTACTTTAGAAACAGCTGTGACAAAAGTCTCTGATTTATCTTTCAAACAGCTCTGATCAACACTTGAGAAGCAGTTCAAACAATTGCCTGAGCTTCTGGTTATTTTATTGTACCTCCAAATACAGCAGACTACTAACAGTTGTCTTTTCTAAAATCAGGTTTGCCTGATAATGATTTTTTGTTTCCCTGCAAAGGTTTTTTTTTTTTGCAAGCTGTCTACATTATTTGGATAGTAGAAAAATGTTCAGATAATGTTGGAGTTCTTTAGCAGTTGAATCCAAAACCAAAACAAGGTCCACTTACCTTGAACTGTACTTCTTCCTTCTGTTAATGTTTATTAATCTAGAATTCTTCTCTTCCATCTCTTTTTTCATCTCCTGTCCCTGACCTCCCCATTTCCTGTGTCTTTTTTATGCTCTGTTCTCTGTGTTAAATGTTTAATCTTCATTATGTTTAACCAAAGTAGAAGATTCTTTTTGATCATGTATCTCTCACAGCCCTTCTAGAGTTAAAGAAACACCTCAGTTTCTACACGTTGTTCTTTAATTTTTAAGGACCTCTTAAGTCATAACAATATTGTTAACAATCTTGCTAATCAAAGTAAAAATCAAACTTTTATAGACCTTATTTCTTACATAGTATGTAAACCAGTTATAAGAAAGAAAGGTTCACAATTATATAGCCTGATAAAGCAAAGGTTTTGAAATGCATGTGGCCACCATTGGTTGTGAGAGCCGGCTTACCAGCCCGGTGATGTCACCACCCTTCCCTGTGAATAGCAGGGACCACAATGGGTTTTGTTTTTCCATTATTGTCCATTTTTAAATTTTGGATGTTCTTCATTGCGCTGTTACAAGTAAATCTTTTATGAAAATAGAGTTTTTTAATTTATTTATCATCATGGCTGTGTTCTTCAAATGTTATCTTAAAAGGCTTAACAGTATAACAAGAGCCCATGTGTCTTGGCAATAAAAACTATCTTGTTGTGTTTAGAAAGAGTCACGTTGGGGTTACAAAGTTGTGGAAAAACACATACTGTATTGCATTACAAAATTATGAACAAGTGTCCTAGTGACACCACACAGATTGCCAGACTGAAATTTTTACTTATACTGTAAGTATCTGGTTAAGGTTCTGTGAAGAGGACAAGACTGGAGGACAATCATTTATCATAGGCGGCCCAAACGTATAGTTTGGTGAGGTAAACATAGAATAGAATAGTGGAGAAAAAAACGAAATTGCTAGCTTTAAATAAAAGTAGATAGGGATATAAGCCTTGTGGTATCATGATGTTTTTACCTCCCATAAAATACAATTATTTTTCCTGTTGCATAATTCAGAATATGACAGATTTTTTTAATACTTACACAAATATTGTGTTCCACTTGAGGAAGAGATATTATTAATGTTCCTTGTACATGTTAGCCTAAGACCATCCTGCCATTAGAGACTTCTGAGAGTATTCTGTGTATTTCTCAGATGCTGCAAAGTGGAATTGGACTCAAATATCAATGGTCTTCTTAATCCTTTTGATTATTACCCTTTTTCCTGTCACCTTTGTATAGCCTAACATTTATTCACAAACTGTCTCTATCAAAAACCTTTATCTTTCTTCTTTTTCTCTCACTCCTGTGTTCCTTTTCCAGTCTTCTCCTCATTTCTTTCTATGCATACTCGCCACTCTCTGTAATTGTCACACAACTCCTTTTGTCTCTTTTTATTGCAGAATCAGTCATCAGAGTAATAAAATACACTATGTATGTAAAGTGTTTTGAAAACATTAATGCTGGTAACACGCCATGTTACTTGTATTACCAGAATATTTCTTTTAATATTTTATATTTTAAAATGTCAACCAGGTACAAGCACCATATAAGCACTATCTTCCACAACATGAACAATAAGGTTGTGCTTTTTCTTAATTAGGGTGGTGATGATGGCGAAGATGATGAAGATCAGCCCCTTAGCCTGTCCTGGCCAGAAACCAATCGCAAGCGTGTCACATATCTCTTAATTCTGCCCATTGTCTTCCCACTCTGGCTTACTCTTCCTGATGTCCGCAAACTGGTGAGTAGCCAATAAACATTAATATTATTATTAATGCAATGAAGTGTGTCTGAAGTCTTTTCCATTCATTTTTTCCTAAGGTCTTGTTCATATAGATTTACAGATATATAAGCAGTTTATAAACATAAAAATCCACTGTTGCTATTGTTCAGTAACTGAATTTTGTTTTGCATAGGAGTCTATCGGCAGTCTAAAAATGTTAACTTGGGTAATGATCGGGCAGGCTATACAGATTCTACGTTCTACAATATATCAAAAACTAAACTTTTCACTTGCTTTATATCTCTCAGGTTAAAAGACCTTAAGACATATTTAAGTCATTAATAATGTTACAAACCTGCTGTTGCTTGTTCAGATCACTCTGCCTATTTAATTTAGATTTACCTATTCTCAATCCATGGTCTCTTAAGATCCTGTTTTCAAATAGCTGTTGTCATGTTTAGTACTAAAAACTGTTTCCATAGCCATATATGTAATAGAAGTCAGTATATAATTACTTGGCTCAGTTTTGACACTCTGTTTATAAATCAGCGCTATGCTAACAATTCTCCAGAACATGGATGCTATTCATGTCTTGTGCGACAGTAGGAAGATTTGTATAACATCTCTCATTTTCTGAAGTACAACTAGTAGGATACCACCAGACCGTGGAGATTCATTAATGTCTTGGTCATCTTTTTTGAACCCATGTCCTTTCTTGGGAATAAGTTACTTTCTTGTTTGTGATGGGAAAATTACCAGCAAAGAGGAGTAGGTTCTCTGATCCTTAAAATAAACAACAGAATAACAGAGAAGAACACCTTTCAGGATTTCAATTGTATATACCAAAGTATTCAGACTGGATTGCAACACTGTGACATTGTGACCAATTGTGATGTTTTAGATCTGTCAAAAATTAAGGCGTTAAATTAGGAGCTGCCTGAGAGGCAGCCATTTAGGAGAGATTAATTAAGACTACTGCGTTCTCATATTCTATAAAGATGTGCTAACTTCTCATCCCTCCTACACAGAGAGTCTTGGTTTATATGTAAACCTTGCTATTTCTAATAGAAATTTTCTATTAGATTAAATCTCTCCCAGTTACAACCCTCTTTGTTCCTGCCTCCATTATGTACTTTCACAAATGTACTAATACTGTACATGTCCAGACACACAGATACTGTCTTTCAAAAGTAATGGGATGTGGGCAATCTTACAGATAAAGATCCAGGAAAGAAACATCATAAACACCTGAACATTATCTGCTAAACTACCCACAATTATTAATCTGTTGTGGGTCAAGATAGTATCTTATCCAGGTGCCTTGTGGGTGTGAATTAAAGTGGATTAAGGAAAACAACACAATCAACATGCAACCTGTTTCAGAACAATCCATGATCAACAATACACCTTAACAGGAAGAGAAACCAAACAAACAAAAACAATTGCACACAGTACCATGCCAAAATGTGGACATAATCTACAAGTACAGGGCATGGTTTTCATTCTAAGACTTTAAAGTATGTTGTTTTTTGAAACCCTATAATGGAAGAAATCTACTTTGTGGATTTTAGAAGTCTCATTAATGCAGCTGCTTACTCGTACTCAAAATACATTCTGGATGGAGAAAATGCACCTTAACTGTGCCATGATTATACAGTGTATTGATTTACATTAAAAAAGAAAACAATAGAATTGGTAATGACATGCAAAAGGACCTCTTTCATAAGTACTGAGAAAAAGGAGGATTTAATAGAAATCCGCAAACTGCTTTAATCCAGCCATTCATTGTGCTGTAATGTAAATGCTATGTTCTACAAAATGCCATAAACTAGAAAACGATTTACTTGTCAGTTTAAAGTGTAAAAGTGAAATGGTAAAAAAATGCATTACAGATAAAAGATATGAACAGGACTGTGGTAACTAACAAACAGGTAAAATACTGTACAAGACTTTTAACACATCAGATTCACCTGTTATTATGAGTTAGTTTTTTAGTTAAAACCAATTCAAATAACCTTATCAGTTCCTTTAGAATAATGTAGTGTGTATTATATTAATTATATTGCATAACACACACACACACATATATATATAATATTACACATTTAGGTTATATTATAGGACACATTACATTTGTAGGAGATGTGAGGTGGTATTACAATTTTAATTATTTTGTTTTAAACAAAGATGCTTCTTGATGTCTTGCAGACTTCAAAGAGGTTCTTTCCCATTACGTTCTTTGGCTCCATCTGCTGGATTGCAGGATTTTCCTATCTCATGGTGTGGTGGGCTCATCAGGTAAGAAGAAATTCTGATTTCTGAATCATTGCCATACCTTTTTACATACTGAATGCTTTGTCAAAAAAAAACTGTTCTAAATACCACATGTGGTTTACATTTTAAATCTAATTACTTCTTAATTTTGTCATTTTTGGAATGTTAACTTTACATATGGTTGTTGCTTGTTTAAGAAAAATATTAATTTGGAATTTTGTACCTAACATTTTGGCTTAACCCATACTGCAGGTGCTTCTTGTCCTAGTTCTGGAGATCCCCAAGCCATGGAGTCTTATAAGTCACATTTTTTTAATGATTTGATGACACCTGTAAGCTATTGATGGTTCAAACAAGTTATCAGCTCAACTACAAGAGCCTGAGGGCTTTAAAGTACTTGGATTTTAGGAACTGCAGATGTGACAGATTGTTCTGTAGAGCCTCAAGGTCTAAGTCATATCTATGTTCTTTATGTGTATGTTGCACTATTTTTTTTCTAACACTTCTGTTGTAACCAAAATGTTATGCTTCAGTTTGGGCAGTTCCAAAGCCCTTATGCAGAGTTTCTATTTTCTTTCATCTGCAATGCCTGCAATAAAAACAGCTGAGCTCTTAAATCATTAATAAGCCACTCAGAGTAGCCCTCCAGGACCATGTTTTCTTGTTTTTACTCCACCCTGGACTCTTAATGACTTGATTTCAATCAGTTGGTCACTTAGGAGTTTATTAAAGTTGCCATTTTTTCACTCACTGAGGACTACACTGGTGGACTGTATCCGTTCAGAATTAGGAGTGAGTAACACTGATTTAAATGATCTATTCTTAATTTGTCTCACCAATAAAGAAAAGGTGGGAATTCTGGAATTTAAGTTAAGCAGTCATACAAAAGGATGTATCATTGCTTAATGTATACTGTACCACAAATTATTAAATACAACTGAACACCTTCTGCAGAAACAGAAGTCGAGTATGTAACTTTGCAGAGACAGTGCAGCATGTTGAGTGTAAGAAGATGGTGCCTCTCATTTGAGAGTGAGAACCTGCGAACCCTTTCCAGGCTATGAGGTAATTGTTCTGAGAAAGCCGGATTAATCCAGGTCCAGAAATACAGTGTAAGCAGCTTATATCTTTTGGAAGGTATTTGATTGAGCTGAAAACAGAGAAAGTGCCAGAAGGCCAATCAAGAGCCATTTCTTAATTATCATCTTAGTTAATGATGTTGTCTAGAAAAAGGAAAGTGAACTTGTATTTAAAGGAAATGTTTAAATGTAACAAAGAGAAAATTGCATTAGAAATGATATTTTTGACTATATTTTCTAGGATATGTATAGGAAGGGAGCTATTAATATCATGACAGCATTCTCAATGTCTTAAATCCTGTTCTTAAGAAATACAAATCCGAAAGTAGTTTGCTACTAAGAGTTACCTTTTCTAGAGGTCAGTTTGCTCGTGTTATTTGGGTGGATGCAGTGTTGTATTCTTGTATTCTTGGTTGGTTTGTTTGATATTTCTTGAGCAAAGAAACCACAATGAGCATATTTCTTATTACTTGCCGGCGCTTCTCATATTATTTGCCTTGTGTAAAAGGTGTGAAATGTTGTGGTGCTTTGTATTTAATTTTGCAATGACACTGATTCTATAAACCTTTCCAGATTTTATATTTTAAGGAAAAAAAATGTTATCTAGTTTTAAAAATGAAAGTGATTCCATAGTGCATGGTCATTATGCCAAAAAATAACTACAGTGTAATTTGAAACATAATGGAAGAATGGCAAGTTTTCAACATTTCGTGTCTGTTTTGTTGTATGTATAAATAGTATGGTATTAAAGTCAGATTCTTTGAAGTGTGGTCTTCTTTGAAGAGCTTTTATATACTGCTGTTTCTTTTGAACATTTATTGTTTGGATTGACAGTTCCAGCTTAATATCTTAACATCTTTTAAATGCAGTGCATGTCCTAAGATTATTTAACTTTTTTTTCCTTTCCACATTGTTTAGAAGATGAAACTGATGGACCAAAACAAATATCTGAATTTTTCATTTTGTATTATAGTTTGTTTTTGCTATTTGTAAGTGATACTCTGCATTTGTCTACCTGCCCGATGTTTGCAAGGTCTTGAATTTTGCCTGAATCATTTTGAGTTTCCCTTGCTGTGTCTACAGTATTGACTAATCCTTGTATTTGAGCATTATATGCACACACTAGTTTGCTAACTATGTAATCATTGATATAAAATAGTAAGAAACCTGGATCTGTTGTAGATACTTATCTATTTCTATTTCTATTTCTATATCTGTTTCTACACAAATTACATCACCCGGTTGAAGTATTCAGATATTGTTTTCTATCAGTCAGTTTACAGTCCACACATGCATTACCTTAAATGCCTATTGCCTCTTTGACCTGGAAACTAGGGTGCTTATAACTTAAAGTTAAACCACATATTCTAATGCCTAAATAATTGCATTATATGAAGGGGTGTGAGTGGCGAGGACTTCAGATACCATTCATCCCAAATAATTGAAGCAACAGTGGATAAATAACATAAGATACAGTATGGGGCATAACAGGTTCCATTGCAAACAAGATTTTAATCTTTACAGAGTTTCATTGCAACAAAAATCTTCTTCTGCAGGTTGGAGAGACCATAGGGATTACAGAAGAGATTATGGGATTGACAATATTAGCAGCTGGTACCTCAATTCCTGACCTAATCACAAGTGTCATTGTGGCACGCAAGGGGCTTGGCGATATGGCCGTGTCCAGCTCTGTGGGCAGTAATATTTTTGACATCACTGTTGGGTGAGTAACTTTGTTCCTCCTTTCTCTTCTTAGAAATATTATTCAACACAGGAGTTTGAGATCAGCTCACATAAATCACGTGATCTGCAGACGAATCTTCCTCATACTGATATACTGTAACTACTAAAGCGTGACTGTTAGTCCTTGCTGAAAGGCCTTCCAGTAAACCATTTTCCCATGATGGGAAATATGTCATCCATGTATTCATTATTAGTTGCTGAAATTGGCTCTACCAGTAAAGGCGCTTGCCCAAATACAGGTTAAGCTCTACGATCCCAGGTTTAAGCCTGTAACAATATTATTCAACTGTGTCCAGGATTTCGCATGAGGTGACACATAATTGGCTGAATGCCGCCGAGCTTAGAGTGGACTATCTTGGCTCTCAGTAATACAGCGACCCCTGTGTGCTTCTCCTCCAGTCAGCTTTGAATATCAGTTGAGAATGTGCTGCCTCTAATGTGTAAAAAATAATAGGTGATTCTAAATTCATATGGAAAGGAAAGCTGTTTATTCCTAGTAGACCTTATCCAATAAGCACAGGGTGCAGAACGCTAGCCTATTGCTGGGCACAGACACACATATTGTATGCACACAGAGACAGCAGTTAACATAACCAGCTTGCCCTTGGAGGCGAGAGGAAACCATGAGCTGTGATGTAGCAGCACTAACTGCCACAGCACCATGCCACCAATTCAAATCCAAAATTAAGGTCTTGATTTTGAGGCAAACATTTAATTAATTGTGGTGTAATTTGTAATTTTGCCAAATGTAATACTCTTCCCTTGGGAAAAACCTTACTAAAGCTTAGTCAAAACAGTTTATCAAGCACTATGACACTGTAAAACTTAGTAAATGAGTCAAAGTAAAGCACTAAATTTCATACCATACTCACAATGTGATATGTCAAAGCAGTTTTACACATAAGCAGTGGATCTGTTTGAAATTTATATTCAGGATATTTTAATGATACATTAGTTCATATTCAGGCTTTTATTGATTTTTAAAAAATTAAAATAGTTGAAAACATCCAACCTCATATTATTTATTCAAAAGTATTTTTCTTGAGTAGTCAAAAGGCAGGAAAATAGAAAGAGGTATTCAGGTAAGATTGTAATCTTTTAGTAATTGAAAAAACAGTGGTGTAACAGAAACAGTCTAGCAACTGCCAAGATGCTGCTTCCTGTAGTAATGGGGGCCTACTGGAGCAATAGTGATTAAACTACCATTTAAAATTCAGAAATAATTATTTCGATAATATTTAAGCTTCTCTAGAAAATACATTAAAGTATTATGAGATGGGGTTGTAAAATCTAATAACATTTGTGTTGTAGTGTTTGGTGGACTAAGAGGCAGGTAAACACAGATCAACAAAGTTTCTGATTTACTCTGATTAACTTCATGGTAAATCATTAGAATGATAATAAAGAAAAAACATTAGAGCACAGAATATCTACAGAGTAACGGAGAGAAAAGACAAGGAAATGTATTTACAACCAGAGCTGTGCCAGAGACTAAAAAGAATTCACGCCATTTCCCACGTGCCTCAATTTTGACTAAACGCTCAGGTTATTTCCTGGCACCCCTAGTTTGTAAGAATGTTCTTCACATATTTGCTTCTTATTAAAGGTCAATGCTTTGTACGACAGATGATTTGTAAGATATGTAGCCTGATGTTCTGCTTTTCCTTTCTTTAATTTTTCCACAGACTTCCTCTGCCATGGCTCTTATACTCCTTTATCAACAACATGGCCCCCGTGGCAGTCAGCAGCAATGGGCTCTTCTGTGCCATCGTGCTGCTCTTCCTCATGCTGCTGTTTGTCATTGGTTCCATCGCTGCGTGCAAGTGGAAGATGAGCAAGCTCCTGGGTTTAATCATGTTCCTGCTCTACTTTGTGTTCCTAGTGGTCAGCGTAATGCTGGAGGACAAAATCCTTGTGTGCCCAATCTCCATCTGAGCTGCCCCGCACTTTCCATAGAGTATTTTTCATTTCATAAAGGAAAGAAGGAAGCAGGAGTTTGGGAAGGAAGAGGGGGCTGGATTTAGTGGCTGAACCAAAAGCACGGACCGGACTCTCCTGACTTTTTGACATGAACAACACAAGACTTGGCCTAAGGTCCCTATCCTCCTGATAGGTGGGTTAGTTATGTCTGAAATACAAAATTATATTGAACAAAATGAATGACAGAAGAAGAGAAAAAATAACCGAATAGCACTGAATTGTTGCTGTGGTGGATTCAAAGAGAAGATCTTCTCAGCAATTCTGAGGGCAGAACAAAGACTACCACAAACGTTCAGAGGCTTGAACTTTGTCTTTTAAATTCAAATTAATGGTTGGATGAACATGCATTTAGCATACACTGTGAATATGCATGTGCTGAAGGCAAGGCATCAGAAAACCGTGAAAAGTGAACATCTGGTGCTATTCTGAAAGGCAAAATCCTTTGTCTGGAAAATGTGTGACTGCTACTGTTCATCTGAACTATTCTACAGACACTTAAGTGAAAAATCACTGCAGAAGAGAAGCTTGGATAAATGCATAAGATGGGGGCTATAACAAATACACGTTCTAGATAATGTTCCAGCCCATGGCGAAAGCTAAGCTAATCATCCCTTTGAACTGTTTATTGTGACACAAGACAAAGTGTTACACACGCAGCTGTAGAAGTAGCTAGCTCCAAACTGTCATCAGCTGTTCTAGCGGGCACAGACGGTTCTGAAGTGTTTGAAACTAAAAACTTCCTTTTCTTGCTCATAAATTCAGTGAACAAATACTAAATTTGTCATCTTAAGTGGATGTCAGATCTACCTAGGGTAATGCATATGGTGGTTGTTTGTGTATGTGAAGGGGGTTCTGATTGAGTCAGGTAGGAGGCAGTAAAATTCATCATGTATAATGTGAAGCCTGCCATCAAAACTGATTATGTTCTTCTAAAGTCAATTCCTATATAACAAACTAAGTTTCCTTAAAGGGTTTATTCATTAATTGTGGTGATCAAGTACTCCTTCTTGTTGAGTGTTATATCTGTAACATTTATAAAACATTTAATTTAGTTCATCTTTTCACACTGCTAATGGACAACAAGAGGTCATCTGTAATAAAAACTGCAGTAATTCATTGCTTTTGGAGGATGCAACCATATATAAAAGTTAAAAAAAATGTTTAGATATAACTAACATTTCCTACATTTCTCTTTCAAAAAAGCATGTGTAAAAATTAAATTAATTGCATCTTATACTACAAAGGTGGGTCTGTATATATAGCTTCAGCTTAAAGTATTAGGCAGCCTTTCATACTTCAGTGCAAGGTACTATTCTGGATAGCTTTTAAGGAAATATTGTATTGAAAGCAAAATCAAGATTTACTACTTTTTCAGACTTTCATTCCTGGATCAAAAGTTCAACCGAGAACAAAAGAATGTTTTTTGCTAAAATACTAGCGTGTGATACACTTTTTGTTTTAAGTGTACATTATCCTGTTGAAACCAAGCTTCAGAATGATTTAAATTAGAGGTAATTCCTCAGTGGAGAGCTTTCAGATGTTTTTTTTCCAGTTTGTGTAGATATAAAACTCACTCTAACCTTAAAAAAGCAGTTTGTCAGCCCCTGTTGATGACACATACTCCAACACCTTAAAGCATACATTGCCAAATTGGGGATTTTCAAATAAATACTAAATACTTCAACCAAACAAATGCAAAATACTTCAATGTTAAGACAGAATTGATCAGGACAAAAAAAATATGAATAAGTAATAGTCTCTTAAACGTTTATGGAGTATATTAATTTAATCTCATCTCAGCATATTAGCTCAGTACTCAGTCTAGATTTTCCATTCTTTTTCTAGTGCTAATCTGTTTTTGTGGGTTTGACGTTAGACCTTTTTTACTTTAAATCCCTTAAGTCCACCTTCATTTAGTCTTTTTCTTCAGGTTTAATCTAACGTATTCCGTGAACTTCTGTTGAGAGTATGCAGATATTTTTATGCAGATTGTTACCACAGACATTTTAAATGGCCATCTAAAATTATGTCATCTATTTTGCCCACTTCAGTGGGATTAGGCCTGTATAAAACAATTTAGGGCAGCATGGTCCAAGCACAACAAAGAAATTAGGGCTCCTGTAACTAATTCTCCTGTTACTAAGTCTAAGCAGAAATAACAGGAGATCAATTTCCTGAAAAAAACTAAAGCTAGGTTTTGTTTTCAAGTAGATTATCCAAAATAATGCATCCAATTGTATTCAATCTGAAACTTTTGACTAAATGTAAATCAATGTTTATGATTCAAACAGATACATGCAATCCATTTATATTTATATACACAATCAACAATATTTCTTTTTCACAGGATAATACAAATCTTAATGGTTAGAATTAAATGTATATAAATTACAAATGTATTTATTTGATCAATGTACTTTACCAATTCTGTACATTGTTATATGCTTATGATTTTTATTCATAATCATATATCAATTTCCAGAATTGGTAAAGTACATATTTATTGCCTTCTTTCCTACAAATGAATATTGTCATTAGTAATTGGTTCAACTGACCAATCAGAAACCTTGGTTTGTTTGTGACTCACTAAGCCAATGCAGAATTCAGATTCCATAGTCAAACCATACAGTACATGTTTGAATAGGGGAAGTTTTTATTTTTAAAACTTACATTTTTGTTTTTTTATGCCGAAACGACAATACTTGGATAACATCTAATAGCTTGTGTCTGTAACATTTTTTGTGAAACCTAATCCATTTTAGTATTGTTTATTTTTTTTATTTTTGTTTTTACATTACTCTGAGTTTCAAAGTGACATCATGGTGACATACTTTACAACGTCTAAGCAGCTTTGTGCAAATATATAACAACAAAATGCAAATATTTGAAAGCTACACTAAGAATTCATCTAATTGCCTGCATTAACAATGCTCTGGATACTCAATTACAAAATAAATTAAGGTTTTAGAGTACACATATATTGCAATTTTCTGATTGATTTTGTAAATAGTAGTGTATAAATATTACATTTTAAACATTTGAAAGCTTCTAAGAATACCAAACCACAGGTGGTTCTTTGTTGAAGTTTTTTTTTAACATTTTAAATTGAAACGGAAAATCTGTTTGGAGATATTTGATTGGTACAGAATATTCTTTCTTTCACTCATGTTATTGAAAGCATAGATATTATTCTTTTTATCATGATATTGCAGTCATTTGCAATCCACCAACATAAATACACTGAAGTTTTTTGTAACGTCATATAATCTGAAATGATAACATCATAATTTAATCATAGATGTTTCATTGCCAACGTCAATGTTTAAGTTGCTTTCCCAAAAGTAGATTACGACAGTATAATGAGTTGCTCTGTTAATGTGAGCAGATGTAAGAAAAATAAAGTTTTTTCTGTCATCAAGAGCATGCGTCACTTTAGGAAGTCAAGAATATAGTGTTTGTTGCAAGACTATTAACCTTTAGTATTGTACAAGTTGCTTCATAGTGTATTTTAAGTAAAAAAAATGTACAGCTAACACTCCAGTGGTAAAATAGATTAGTATATTGCCTCTGGACTCACATCAATAAGATAGGATAAATAGACCTCACAGCTGAATACCTATATAATATTCATTGTTTAGTTATAGAATCTAGTCTATGTCACACGAGTGACGCAAACTAATGTTATTCACAGATTTGCACAGCTGATGTGTATTAAAAGTGTATTATTCCTTCCTTATCTAATACGTGTGTATTTACAGCATTGAAATTTGCAGGTCATTTAGAGGCCATCATGGACATTTGTAATTAATGCATCAAGAGGACTCAGTAGTGGGCTTTGTTTCTGAATTAAAAGTGCACATTAAGCGAGTTGGTTTTCACCCTCGATAACTAACATGTAAGAAGAGAATAAAATTCACAGAAGCATGGATATATATACAATATAACGTGGATGTTGAATTAATACATTACAACTGTGAAATACTTAGCACCATGTTACTTTGTACATAGGCTATTGAAATTACATGGGATGATACATGTTTTTCCTAAAACATGATCTTGCACTGTTATTGTGTATGTGTAAGATTTCTTTTCAATGACATATATATAATATATATAACCATATAATATATACTCTTGTTTACTTGAATCTATTAAATGGTATTTATGTAAAGATGCATAAAATATGTATTAAGATATTATGGAAATAAAGTACTCCATGAAATGATATAATTAACATTTGGTTTCAATTTATTGATTCTTTCATAATACAGTATATAATAAACAGAGATGGAGGGTTTGGATAAATTATTATACATAATTCACTGAATTCCTGAGTTACTAATTTTAGTTAGATAATAGAAATTATTCTAAAAGAAAAATAGTTTATTTTTACGGACATTTTATAGCAAATCTATTTTACTGGTTCGGAGGAAAGTGCATCGATGCCTTCAGTCTAGTACAGGTTTTATTCCAACCCCAGGGGTGCCCATTCCTCGGTTGTACCTCTAACACGGGGGATCCAAACCCTTCATCTCTGTTCCTCAAGATTTAGTCCTTATAACCTGGTCCTGAAGATCCAATTACATGTTATACGATATTATTATTGGCTTTATTACATGCTTTTTCACTAATTGAAGATACCTTTAAATGATTATTGATCCAAAGAATTCGCTTAGGAATTCATCCTGGTTAACTGAGGTAGGTGTGTTACCCACAGGAAAGATGTCTTTCTGCACCGCCTCGGAATGGGTGACTGGTAAAGGCAATCTTGACATATCTTCAGCATATCTCTGCAGAGCTGATTTTGTATACTTTCTTTCATAGGTGTATGCGGAGAGATGTCGCATGCCGCTCGCAGCCATGGAGGGAATGCATACTGTATGTGAACTCCAGATATTGACCTCAGGCGGCACTAACCAGTGAGAAGTGTGAACTTCTGTCCAAACATGAACCAGTGGAATTTCCAGTGCATCACGTTTAATCTGGGCATGGTTTTTCTTGGGTACACTGAAGGTTCATGATGCAAAAGCAATGGGTCTCTCTTCTCCTGAAGGCATAATGTGCGATACCTCTGTTCTTACAACATAAGGAGAGGAATCATATACCATTTGGAGAGGTAAGGGTGGGTCAAAAGACCTCTGAATTTAGCAAGGATTCCTTACCTTTGTGAAACGGAGTATTACAAGCCTCTGTCCATTTCCAAGTTTGTAACCACTGAAATGTTCATTTAATGTCTTAAGAGTGCTTGCTGTGTGGAATGAGTCTTCCACAATACTTTAGTAACCCTAGGAAAGAGAATAGGTGGCTTACTTTTTGAGAAGAAAGAGCTTCTCAGAAATTAGATTCTAAATAGAATCTAAAGATAATCAATAGCACTTAAAGTATAATCAGAAGGTATTCTTGGAGTTCTGTGACCATTTCTACATTTTGTGTTTCAATTACTTATCCACCCTGTTGTGTTTGTGGTCTACTCTGACAAATATCAGACAGGTGATCAACAAAATGATCAACTAACGCATCTGGGAAGGTATTATTCGGAATATAATTTTAAAATTATAATAACCAAACCCCCAATCCCTCTTGTATCTCCTCAAAGACTAGGATAAAAAGATAGAAGTATGGACCAGCTCCTTTTTCCCCCTTGCAGGAGGGCTGTTCAAGCAGATTGACTGCTTGAAATCAACCAACAGGACAGTAGCAAGCATCAACAGAAACAGGAAGTAGATCAGCGCCTTTCCCAGGAAGGTTGTGAAGGGTGTAAACCAGAACTGACCAGCTGGCCACAACATAGAGATAAAGCTTGTCCTGATAGACTGAGAAAGAGCCAGTGGGAGAGTCCACAGAGGAGAGAAATAGAAACGCTTACAGACCTGACTTTACTGGCATTACTTGTGTTGTCTACTAGAGTTAAGACAGTTCAGGTCTGACCCTGAAGGCTGTGGGATCGGCCAATTACAGTACTTTATCAACATACAAAATATCCATTGAATAAAGTCGATCAAGATTTTCAATCTTTGCTGGACTGGGGCTGGTTCTAGAATAAGCGGTCCAGGCCCATAATGAATCCTTCAGTGAAGTTTATGAACTCATTATATAAGAAACAGCTGAGGGAAAGAGAGATGTCAGCAGCAGTAAACGAACATGAACATGATCAAGATTGTTGTGAGATACAGATACAGGCAAAAATACAGATAATAAAATAACACATACACAATCAGAGGTCTGAGCATTATCCTGAAGATATGAGCATAACACCATTAGCAACATTTTTGTTGTTGTTATAGTGTTACCATTTTGATTCATGTTTACATGGAACCTTTGGAAACAAAGAATGAGCAGGCTGAAATGTGTAAGCAGTTCCCAGTAGCACTGGCTTTTGGATTTCCTCAATGTGGACTTTTCCAGGACCATACTTTGTTCTCCAGTCTAGATTTGAGAGATTGTTGGGATATCAACTGTTTATTTGATATTCCACAGGTTTCCATGTAGGAATGGTTGTCTTGTAAATAAACTGGAACATTTATTAAAGGAATCTCAATACAACATGTACACCATTCTCCATGCACTGAGGTAAGGGAGGTTCTGCCCAGTACTCACCTTTAGACTTCTCCTTGAGTGATTTGAGTTCCTGCGCTTCTCGACTGCAAACAACACAACATATGGTTACCACATTGTAAGCACAACACCATCACACCCTTAAAACAGCAGTCATATACCATTAACATTTAGTAGACTGCTAAAATGCATGGCTTGGTGGTGCAGTGGTTTACTATTCCTGCCTTGTAGCTCTGGAGCCCTGGGTTCAATTCCAGACCTGGGTAGCTATCAGTATGGAGTTCCCTCCATATCTGCATGGATTTCCTCCGGGTGCTCCAGTGTCTGCCACCAGTCCAAAGACGTACTGGCTCTTGGTTCCCCTGCAACCCTGCAATGGAAGAAGTGGTTAGAAAATGGATGGCTCACTAATGCACAGCATCATCACATCTCATTAGCACAGCACCAACATGCAATTATCACATGGGAACACTAAGGCACAGCATCATCACACTAGAGACATTTTGAATAGAACTGGAAATTATCATCTTGAGGGCTGGTTTTCATAACATACTGGCTTTTTTTTAGCACTTCCCCTTAGCTGGTAGGATGAGGACAATGACCACTCCTCATAACCACCTCTATAAGATATCTGTTTGTGTTCTGTGCCACTCATCCACAGTCCAAAATGTACATACTTAAAGCGACACATGGGGACACTTTCTACATGCTTTATGCTGTTATCTGGGAATAGTTCCTTGATTTCTGTGAAATGTGCAGAGAAAATTAAATTACCACTTCACTTTTCAACTCCTCATTTTATATATAAAGAAGATTCATACAAGAATATTGCAATCTACAGTCCTACAGGTAGGTGAAACTGTAAAAAGATATTACATTGGTGGTGGTAGAGGGGAGTCCCCATTACCTATAAAGCGCTTTGAGTGAAGTGTCCAGAAAAGTGCTATATAAGTGTAAGCAATTATTATTAATAATAATAATAAGAAGAAGAATGAAAATTAAATACTGAAAAAACTTAAAAGAAAAATAAATGTTCAACATCACTCTTACAGGTGAGTGACATTTGACATGAATTATCTGCAGCCCACAATGTGCAGATTGTATCATACAGGCATACCTGTTCTTCCAGCAGTCATTGTGCTCCTAAAAAAGTGCAAAAATATGTTGCTCTATCTAGAAGACACTCAATAATATATTTTTTTATCCTCTAAAATTAACTTTAAAATCAGGTCTATCAGTGAAAAGCAATTTCACTATTTGCAAGAAACACCCTGAAATGTTTACATCTCATTCACCACCTTTTTTACAGTGTAGTGTCCTGATCACTATATTGGGGCACTAGAACCCACACCGAGTGCTGGATGAGCGCCCCCCTACTGGCCTCTCTAATGCCTCTTCCAGCAGCAACTTCGTTTTTTCCCAGGATGTCTCCCATGCAGCCACTGGCCAGATTCACACTAGGTTACCTGTTGTGAGTTGCAGGGTGATATGGCTGCTAGCATTACATCGACTGAATAACATACATGAAAGACGTATTAAACACGTAAGTCCAGAACGTGTACTTAAAAGATTTTATTTTTAATTACTGTTAAGTCTACTCTAGTAATTCGTCTAAATCCTCTTAAGCTTTACACAAATTATACAACTGAGAACTACACATCCCACAATTCCCTGCTGACACAGGAAGTCTGTGGCAGTGGTGTATGTAGTGGCTTCTTGTAAACATGGAGCATCCTGAAGTTACATTTAGTTTGGCATATGTTGTGTTTGTAGTTTGCTTTGTCTTAACTCCAAATGAATTCCGATCGGCGGGAGTAACAGTACAAAACATTTTTTCGGGTTGGCTTGGGAGCGAAGATCTAGGGTTCGTTCAATATCACATTAGGAGAACTAGTGTTACAATCCTAGTTCATTCCGTGTTGCCACTTGGTAAGTCAAATTTGGATATTTGCTAATAGAAAAACATCACAAATTGGAAACCTTAGTTGGCTTTTTATTTGTTTAAGTTTTAACTAGACAGTTGAGAAACAGAGAAAATTTGTATTTGCTACGAAATGAAAGATCAAAGAATGAGCTTATAAGGAAAAATAATCTCCATTTTAATTACCTCATCTTGTCTGTTAGTTTTTCGAGGTTTTTATTTAATTGTATCACTTTAAATCTACGCACTGTAATTTACGCATTAGCTTCTACCAGAATGAAACAAGACTCGGAAACAGTTCTGAAAATGTTATCAAAAACTAAATCGCATCTCTGAATACTGAGAAAGCCGTGAAACACGACTTCTTAAATCTGAAACTGAAACGTCCCATATGTTTGCATCAGAGCATACGGCTCCAGAATAGGTAGTGTGTAGGGAAAACCGTCTCTCTTAACTGAGCTCGTACAGGGTTGAGGCCCTGGCGCAGAACATACTTCTTTCCGAGTTTCATCAGGTGAAAGCGCTGGCACTCTGCAATTCATCCATATTTAATAGTGAAAGCGCTTAAAATGAATCCCTCTCCACTGAAATGTGTAATCTCCGAACGTTGTTTTATAATGGCCACGTAGTTTTGCTTTAAATATAAATATTTAATATTTATTCAATACAATTAATAGGAAAACATGGACGTGAAGTCATACACTATTTTCCCCCCCCAGGTTATTACTTAGGAATGTGCTTGGCAGCGGCGGACAAGAATCTGTGGCGAATTCACCAGGCGAGCGATGAGTGGAGGATCTACTTCGCCGCCGCAGTATCCCTGCCGGTGATAAGCGGCATGCTCGTGTTTTACTGGTCAAGAAATCGGTGGGGCAAACACCCAATATCCAAGACTCTGGCCGCCCACGCCCTGCCTCAGTCCAGCTGGAGGGCTGTGGCGTCCTCTATCAACACGGAGTTCCGCCGCATAGACAAGTTTGCGACCGGCGATCCGGGAGCCAGGGTGATCGTCACTGACACCTGGGTGATGAAGGTCACAACCTATCGCGTCCACATTGCCCTACAACAAGACATCCACCTGACAGTCACTGACTCCAAGCAACACGAGCTGTCCCCAGACTCCAACACACCAGTGCAGATGCTCACCATCTCTGTGGCTAGTGTGAATCCCCGTGTGAAGCCCTTTGATATCAGGTGACAGTCTAGTCTCTATATAGGGCCTTTCATGAAGAAGTATTAAGAATTTACTTTAATTTAGTAAAGGCTATGTATTTAAAGTAAAGGAAAAAACTTAGATCTTAGATGAGGTTTTAAACAGCCACTGATCTAGTTATCTAGTACATAGAGACAGGCCACATAGAGTCAGGGTATTTCGCAAACGTGGGAGTGTAAGAATAAAAAGTTCTGACTCACATGATGTACTGTTACACAGATTTATAGTCTCTGTAAAAGTATTCTTTGTGATTCGGTGTCTGATCTTTCATGATGTTTTCAAGGATGTCTTGTTTAGAATCTACATCATTTACTTAAATGCTGCTAAACCTAAAAAACTGCATTTTAGCAAGGGGGTTGTCTGACAACCCTTTGGTTATGTCATAACGGGATCTTTATAATAAGCAAGTCCAGACCAATTAACACGCAGCCGAAAGGTTCAAAAACACCAGTGCTCTTTAATTCTAGTGAAGGGCATAAAAAATTGGACACCAGGGCTGAAGGAAAATTGGGTTCTATTTGAACTTGAGGGTTTTCAGTGGTTTTATTCCAGTTGGGTCATTCTGTGACGGACTAGAACACTTGCAGTGCAGCACAGTCTCCAGTTTGAATTCAACCTGTTAAATATGGTGTTTTCTTTTGGAAACATCCAAGACAAAAAGTGCAGAGCGTACTTTGTAGTCATCTGCTTAATGAGGCCTGCCATGAGCACAGACTGTGAGCACTGGCTCAGAAAAGGAGTGGTGTCAGTGTGTGGGCAGAAGGGGACAAATACAGGTTAATTCCATGGTGAAAAGTAAATATAGTCAAATACACTATCGAGTACGTAGCTGCGTCAGCATGCGTAGGCTGCGTAGCAACAGGTGAAGGTTCATTCCATGCTGAAAGGAAAAGAAAAGAACCGCAGTGTTTTCGGCTGTCCAGCCTTCTTCAGGTGTGGGGGAGAGAGAGAAAGTAGCACTTTGCTTCTCTCCCCCAAGGATAGCAAAGACAGATTAGATAGAGATAGATCAGCAAGGAGCAAAATAGCTTAATTATAACCTGCACTGTCAATTGTGTTTATATGCAATAGGTCTCCTTCTTTTGTTTATACTTTTTATTGTACAGCTCTTTGAGATCTTGTTAAATGTATTTAATAAGATAATCTATTTGATAGAGTATTAGTATTTGTATAGACCCTGCCAGATTCCAAGGACACAGCGGACATCCATGGATACATTTAAGTATTTCAATCGGAGAGGAAGTTGAAACTCCTGCTTTAACTTAGACATTTGTACTGGTTATTTGTGAAAAGCTTCTACATTTGTTTTGTTTTTTCTAGATCTTGGAGCAATTCTTTTTTATTGGAATTTTAGAGGGATAAAATTGAAATGGCTGTTTCTGCTTCAGCAGTTTATATTATTTGTTGAAAGAGCGGAAATGTACTTTTCCACGAACCATTGATTATTTCGAGATCCCCGCAACATGTGCTGGATTGTGGCTTTCAAGGACATGAATAGACATATAGAACTGACAGTCCCAGCTGGGGAAAGAGTTCAAATCGTGATTTCATTCTAACCTGAATGAGCAATGTTTGTATTTCATATTTTTAGTAATTGATTTAATTTTCCAGGTTGAATTCTGTGGAGTACGGTGAGTTGAGAGAAAAGCTTCACGCTCCTATTCGTAATGCAGCCAATGTTGTGATCCACCAGACCCTCAGTGACCTCTTTCTGGAGACATTTAAATCCCACGTGGAAGTGAACGAGAGCTACTCGCTTCCCAGTAACCAGGTAAGATGCTGCAGGGCACAGACTCTGCTGGCTTTTTATTTTGCCTGGTCAATTGAAAGCTCTGGTTGTTTTTTTTCTTTAATCATCTTAAATTTGTTGTTCTTTGTATTACACCTGTGATATTTCAAGACAGTGTGTAATACTGTTTTATTAGTACCACACAGTGCAGAAAATGTTCCACGAGAATTAGAAATGATTCATAAACAGTAAATACATCTGATTATTTAATAGGTTAGTGTGTTAGTATGTTGCAAACTCTGACTTTGCTTATCCAGATAGAAAGAAACAACAAAATTCTATCCCACAAATATCCAGTAGGTGGTGATAAACTGTCAGTACAGCAGTCATTTTCTTAACTAATTAAACTCCAAAAGATTAACTTCATCAGAGAATGTGTTTGCACTCTGAAGACCTGTGTCATATTCATATCTGATTACTTTACATGAATTTTGTATTTCTTTTTATAGTTTTGTAAGAACATACTGAAATTTGTAGTGTAAAAAGATGAAAACATTCATGTTACAGCAGTATGTTGAGAAGAAATCACGATTAGTGAACTGTCTGCAGTACATGAAACTCCACTGTATCTGGCATCATCTTAGTGTGTTTTGTCAACAGCCCTAAGATTTTCAAGGAAATGCCAATTCACAATTGTATGTCTTTCTTAAATGAATTAATATTTGTTTAATGGTTTACGTCTTGCATGTTACGTTTACCTGGCATGACAAATATTTGTGTTGACACTCTCCTAGATAAAATATCTGTCTACAGATTGATAACACGTGATACACAGCTCTGACCTTTGAGATTTTTTATGGTTGTATCAGAGTTACCCCATCTGGGACTTAATGCAGTATCTGGTCATTTCCTTTGACAGGATCTAGATCCATGTATTGGTTGCATGCAGGTAACAGCCAACATGAAACTGGTGAAACTGTGCCAAGACAACAGTGATGGGGCGTGCCAGCAGTGCTACTGTCGACCTATGTGGTGTTTAACATGTCTGGGCAAGTGGTTTGCCAGTCGCCAGGACCAGCAGCACCCAGAGACCTGGCTCTCCAGCAGAGTGCCCTGTCCCACCTGCAGGGCCAGGTTCTGTATCCTGGACTGTTGTGTAGTGCGGTAAAGAAAAACACCTCTGTTCCACTTCTGGAACCACTTCTGGTAATTCGTAGCATCACAATGCTCTTCAAACTACATTTGAGGGCTAAGAGGAATTCATATCAAATTCCCCCTTTCCTTGAACTGTACCTTATCGTCTTCCATTCTACTGAAATCTCACCTGAGAGGTTTCACTTCATAAGGAAATATATTGCCTTCACTTCACAGCTAGAACTAATCATTTATATAATGGTAGAATATGTAAGTATACAAATAAGAAAACAAACAAAACAATCCTGTAAAATTAGAAAGGAAGAATAATAGTCCTATTCCTGTAGAAAAATGTGACCATGCCCTTTTGTTCTCCATATTCCCTATTTTTAAATTCCAGAACTTACTACAGAATTTACTTTCTTGGCTCCTAATGTAACCCCTGAAATGGTACATGAAGTCACTTCATATTTACATGCAGACAATATTCTGAAATCTGTGTTTACATGATAGTAGAAATAGCTATTCCAAATATGTCCAGATTTACATGGTTTATTTCATATTAGAAAGATGAATTCACAAATATGCACATCAATAGAAACATCTTGCAAAAAATCTGTTGTGAAACTTTTAAAATATGCACCTCTGGATACAGTATATGTTAAGTCTCTTAATGTAATGCTTTGCATTCTACTTCATTGACAAAACTAGTTATTGGGGAATTACCCCATATTTTGGTGACCCTAATGCATTGAAGTTCCAGTATTTCCATTATATTTTGTTTTGTTTGGTAAAAATACTGGTATTGTAAATAAGGTATCTAGAAGGTCTAGTATTTCAGTAGTTTCCTGAATACAAAGGTGTTATCCATTATCACATATTCAGTAAAAGTTTCTCACAAAACATCTGGATTTATTTGTAATACCTTGTTTACATGGCATGGAATAGCTACTCACAATTAAAGTGGAGTCCAGGTTGCATGTAAATGTATAGTAGCTGACTGAATGACTATTCAACTTCTCTGATTAGGAAAGCTAGTTCTATTTCCATAACACATCATGGTCATTGTGACTGCATGAAATCATTTTGACTGTTATTCTAAACTGTGCCAGTTCTCTTTTTCCTGATTGTTTAGCACCTTAATCAGAGGAGTGTCCATTAATTGCATCTTTAAAGAATTCAAAAACCTATTTGTGTGGCAAGTGAAAGGAAAGAAATTTCAGTTCTGTATCGGTTCTAATTAACTGAAAAGTTCATTGTAATAATATGTTTTTCTTCCCATAACTGGAATACACAAGCACTAAGTTTCATAAGAGAACTGATACAAATTGAAGCCCCTCGTCTGCAAATCATGTGAGAACCTTTCACAGCAGCTTTTTAACTCCTCAAAGTGAAAATAATCTGCATAGACAAGGATTTGAGTCCTCTAATTACCTCTGCTGGTCACCAGTGAAACATCTGTACTCTAAAATAGCCACTTCTGTGTCAGAAGCAATGGTGTTAATGAGGTATGCAATACATTTCTTAATAGCACATCACTGGTCACCGATTCTGAAAATGAATGCTAATAAAGGAATTTTTACAAATGTTGTCAGCATGTAATCTATGTTTTTTCTATTCAGGTACTTTATGATGCTTTAATTCTTTTCTGTGCTTATATTATAAAAAAACGTATAACATCAGCCAATATCCTTAGTAGCAGGTGTTTCTGCGAATAGATAACAGAATGCATCAGACATGGCATTGCCTGCCCAATAATCATAGTATTGGGACCGTTTCAGATGGTTGACAAATATATTAGCAATATACAGTACATATAATTTTTCTATTTGGAGTAATTTCAAATAGGTTTTTTGTTTTTAATTCATGTTTCTTATAAAACTTGGGCTGTTACCATTTACAGAGTAAGTTCTATGTTACATATTGCCTTATTCTACAAACATTCCTATACTTCACCACTGTTTTAGTGGGCTACAAGAAATCATGATGATTTTCCATCACCATATTAAAGGTGCAACTACATATTGAATAATCGACCATATAAATAACTACTATAGCAATGGGTGATGACCCGCGGGCGAGTGCGGGTTAAAAAAAAAGATTTTAGATCAGGTTGGGCGGGTGCGGGTTAAAAAAAGCCGACCCGCGTATTACTAAAGGCAACCATTGGAAATACTATTGAGGATTCTGTTCCCAAATGTGTTTCCATCTGGATGAATTGAAATGACATACAACAGAAGAAGTGAAATATGTTTTACGTGCTTTGGTGTATTATAAAAGCTAATTTTTATAATGCATCAAAAAACATTTCTGATTGACGTTCATAATTTAAATTGATCAAATCCTCTTCATAAATTGCTCTTTTGGTTGAGAATTGACAATCTGAAGTTTCTTAATGTGAATGTGTTTTAAAGTCTTCACAAAAAGAGTGAATATGTTACAAATAGGGGTTTACAAAAATAGAGATAGCAAAGGCACAATAATCAATAATTTAAATGTAATTATAACTTCCCAATATAAGAGATATGCCAAGAATGTACCTAAGTAGTTTGATGCCCTTGAGTTCTTTGCCTCTGATTTACTACTCTTTCCCCAGAGCTATGTCAGGAAGCAATCTAGGATAAACAAATGTTTATTAATAATCTTATAAACTAAACAACATACAACAAACAAACTACCCTATTTACAAACAAGATGTCTCGGAGTCATAAGTCCTGACCAACCGGAAAACCTAAACTACTACCCAGTACTGAAAAAAATATTGTACAACATCTACCCAGGCCAACAAGAGACATAAAGCTGTGTCATTAATAAAACAGGTTACAACCTAGAGTTAAATCTTTCTGTCTTTAAATTCCAGATGCTCCAAAGTGAATGAGACCCTATCTTTCTTTTCTAAAACCACATTAACATGGAGTTTTAACCCAGCGAGAATGTCTTTAATTTGGGGATTCTTTATAAAGGAAATTATAGTTTCCTTAAACAACAGAACTGCCAGCTCTCTTGGAACAAAGTTCCAATACTTAGAATATAGTTTTAAAGTATGATTCAAACTAAGACCTCTTGCCCGGCATGCACCTTTTTTCCTCTGACATTTTCTGTCTCCCTTCCTTCTCTTTTGCCTTTTCTATCTTTTATCCTGGGTTTTAATATTTACAGTAGCTAGGCATAAATACTGTAACTAACAAAGAAATGCACCAAGTCAAACCTAACTGAAAGAAGAATGCTCCCTCAATAGTGATGCTCTTATAACCATATATTATGAAAAGCAAAGCTTTGATACTCTGAAGTATTTCCACATTTTGAAACACATGCTCTAAAATTATAATAAGTGAAATTCAATCTTAATATAATCAGAAATTTGTTATTAGAAATCAGAAATTATTATAAAATTAAAAATTATAATGTTTCATAAAAACTATACAATTGGATCAGAATAATTCAATTGTAGAAAGCTATTTACAGTTCTTAGCTATTTCACTGTGTGGCAAGCTAGCTATAGAGAGGATACAAATTTATAAATCATAGTTACAAATCATATACCAGAAATCAGTAAAGCTTCTATTGTCTGTATACAAACTCTACTCACTCTTTTATACTCCTACAGAACCTCCTACAACCCTGGCCTCTTGGCTACTGATATACACCAGATTGTTAATCGACAGGAGTGACCAATTACGCACAGAGCCAGTCATATAAACTCTATTCCACCTGTAGAATTTCATTCACACTGGATGCCAATTATTCAATTATGCTATGTGTGTGTCTAAATTTTACTCCAATAAGGGGCTTTAAACAAAGCCCCTACATTCCCCATCACTGCATCATAAGAAGCACAACAACATATTCTAATCCAATCATTGAAATGCACTATGATAAGTGTGGTACATCTCAGAAGAATGTTACCTTTATGTTGTATTTTTTTTTGTTCATGTAGCATAGTTGCTCTCACTAAGTTAGGGTTATACTGTAGATTCGCACAGCCCACATAAAACATGGGGCTCACTTTTGTTAAAGGTCTTATCAGAAACGACCAAGGCAATATGACCTTTAAGCTAGACTGAATTTTTTGTGCAGCAAACACACATACGCTGTGGTAAGGTGCATACTGCGCAGGTGGTCAGCATTGTACAGGATGTGCATGCTGTTGGCTAGAAACAATATATGTTGTAGTTATGATCACTGGGCTCTAATCTTTCTTTTTTCATCTATAATAACCCCCCTCTAGAGCTGGAAACACACCCAGAGTTGTTTCAGTTATCTTTTTAATTCACTCGTTTTTATAATTTTAGTGAATAGAGTTTAATGAAATTCCCCATAAGGAATTCTAGTCTTTCTTTATTTCTGCATGGTTTGAAAGCTGATTTTCCCTATTAAATCTCTTTAAGCACTTCTTGAATTCACTTCTTGACAAGTTTTATTTTATTGTATGGGCTGAATTACTTCAAGTAGGGAGCTGCGTCAGCATGCGTAGGCTGCAAAGGAACAAGTAAAGGTTTATTCCATGCTGAAAGGAAAAGAAAAGAAAGCCGTCTTTGGGTTTTATGGGGATGATTCCCCTCAGCTGGGGGAATTGCTGGGATAAATGGGAAAATGAGTGGAGCAAAGCAGAGAAAAGTCCTTGAAGAAAACCTGCTGTCCCCTGCAAGGGGATAAGATCACTTTATTGTATTTTATACACTTTCTTGTATTAGGAATTTGTCTTTTCATATACCCCAGCTTGCTCTCCATGAGACACACAGGCACAGAGAGAGAAGCTTGGGATCAGAGCACAGGGTCAGCCATTTATACAGCACCCCTGGAGCAGTTGGGGTTAAGGGCCTTGCTCAGGGGCCGAACAGAGTAGAATTCCTCTGCCAGCTGTGGGATTTAAACCAGCAACTTTCCAGTCACAGGCACAGATCCATAGCCACAGTGCCACCACTCAGCCCTGAAAGCGGGATGGATGTTCACCTTTCAACATGACAACGACTAAGCACACAGACTAAGCTGCACTGCAGAGTGGCCAAGGAACAAAAAGGCACATGTCCTTGAGTGGCCCAGACCTAGCCCTGATCTAAATCCAACTCCAAATCTGTGGCACGACTTGAAGATCGGAGTCCATCACATGCTTCCCAAGGAACTCGACAGAGCTTGAACAATTTTATAGAGAAGAATCAAAAGGACAAAAGAATATTGCCAGATCTCAGTGTGCAAAGTTGCTAGAGACCTATCCCAACAAACTCACAGCTGTAACGGCTGCCAAAGGTGTTTCCGTCATGTTTTAACTCAGAGTGTTGGAGACCTGTCTAATTATGGTATTTCAGTTTTATATTTTTTCCTTAGATCCTTGATCGGCAGTTCTGGAGGGAGGGGGGAACTACTGGGGAGGGGTAATTATTTTGCCCTTTAATGGTTTATTTGTTATACTGAAAAGCAAATGTGAAAATAAATAAAAATTTGAAAAAAACTAACCTTGGTGTGCATTAGCCTATGACGCATGTCACAAGTGTATGTTTCTTTCACCTGTAAAACTAAAAGACCATTTGGTCCTGATTTGGAATTCAGCCAACATCCATTAAGCCTTTGAAGGGAAAATGGATTTTTTATTCCCTAGAGACCAACTTACTACCAAATTTATCTTTTTCTGGACATGTAAACTACTGCACTGCATGCACCCCAATTTTCAAGTTTGTTTTAATCATTGCAGGAAGTTGCTGCAATTGCAAAGTGCTGTTACTGTAAGTGTGTATCTGACGGCATACTTTGAAATGGAGTCTCTATGCACTTCAAAGTCTTTGTGGATGCATCAGTTCTTCCTGTACATGAGCTGAAGGGTCCTAGTTCAGGTCATCTACTTTCCCCAGAGAGGTTCACTGCACCCACAGACCAGAGACCACATCAGAAGGCCCTGTTGCATCAGCCGATCTATACTTCCTTTGTCTAGAGCATTCTAATAAACTACAATCTAAACCTTATTCTTACTGGGAGGTCTAAATACTGTATGTGAATACAAAATATCAATTTTGGAACAATGAAATAGACTTGAATCACTCCTTAGGTACACTGGAGGCATAAAAAGGTTAAGCAGCTGACATATCTATAAATGCATCTTTCCAATTTAATAAAAATGTATACTCGCATTTTAAAAATCTTTTGAAAGCTTTAGTACAGGTACTGTACATGCTTTACTAAAATGTTTTAGAATTATGGTAAGATTTCAGTTTATATATAAATGTCAAATTATGCTCAATGTTTAAGACTTTTATTATGTAGTATGTCTTCAGAGCAGAGAAAATAAGCACTACAAAATCACTATCATAGATTCATTACATGAACACAGGAAATTGTATTAAACACCAATAGAGCTACTGTATATGTAAAATGTAATGTCTGTTGTTAACACTTGTCATAGTCACAAAAGTGGTTTGCTGTGGTTCTTTAAAGGAAACACAGGAAGAATGAACTTAGGCGGTATGTCAAGTGATGTGGTTGTCACTCTGAGTAGAGTTTCTTAACAAGGTCATTTTTCTCATGGTTTCACAGAGCTAATTTTCGCAGTTATGAGGAACAGCCAATTTGATAAGCCCTTATTTTGGATTATTTCACACCTGTTCCTCTTTCACATCAACGCTTCAGGTAAGGCTGCAATATTTTCTCATTTGCCATCTGTGTTTTGATTTTAATGTGCTCATAAAGCCTTTTCATCCAATAAATGTAGTATGTACATGCTGAAAAATGGAAAAAACTTAAACAGAAGTGAACTTTTCAGTCCGTGTTAAATTAATTGATATCAAAATGTTTATTTTGATGAGCTGTGGTTGTCTGTGGCACTAGCTGTAGCTGTTTTAGTTGTAGTAATCACTGTTTTATAGATGATAATTATCATGATGACTGTTGATGCGCTTTAATGTTGTAGTTGACCCAGTGTGCTATTAGTACTAAGTATCAGTAAGTAACATGGAACAATGGTGGTCAATGGTTATCCAATACATATAAAATAAATAGCTAAAGAGATGTCGTAAAGTTTACTCAGTTGCAGCTGAGCATAAAGGTTGGAAAATGCAAATGATAAAAGGGGATCTTTCAGGAAATTCCTCTAGGTGGTTAACATCTCTGCAAATCTCTAGGCTAACAGAGAAATACAGAATAAAGGACAGGACAATAGAGTGGGAAAGATGACTAGGAGAGACAGGGAGTGAATGAGAGACAGAAGAGTGTCCCATGCAAGAGGACCTTGCTCTTGTGATCAGTCTTAGGGACTACACGCTGGCTAATTTGAGCCTTGTTTGCCATCTTTTAATTTCAAACATTCTTACTTCCTTTATCAATAATTAAATAAATTATATTAAATATTAAATAAATTTCCATTCACTTTTAGGCATCCAGATTTTAGCAATGGGTTGTATTCCGTTAATTAGGCATTTCTCTTGTTGGACTGTTTAGGCATTGTACTTCATATGATTTCAGATCACAGGGCAAGCTGTCTGCGTTACCTGGGTCTTAAGATCATAGGCCTCTATGCTTTGTTTTGTAAAAAGCAATGTTTTTTTTGTGTAATGTGTGTAGTTTGTGCTATTGATATTGTCAAATTATTGTAAAATGTGTTTGTCCTAGTATGTCTCAGATGTATTACTCTTCTGCCAGAGCTGTGCCAGAAAATTAAGAACTCAAGTGCCTTTATTATACCAACCACTGAAATGTGTCATTGATATTGGAGATGTATTTGTTTGAATTATTTTATTGTCCTCTCTATATTTGTATTTTTCTGACCCCCACGCATCTGTAAAGATATTTGTGTGGTATACAGGAATGTAGAAGAATACTTCAATGCAATACACATTATTTAAGGTCATGAGTCTGAATTTAAATAGTGAAAAGTATTAAAAATAAAATTGACTGCAATGAACTGCTCCGCTAAAGGCATTCTGTTTGTTTCTGTTTTACTGTGAAGTAATTTGGTGTAGTAAATGAATTCAGTGCTCTTGAAATACTTTCTGCACTTTCAGCGGTCAGAGAGAAGTTTTGAAAGAATTTTCTACAATATCAGAGATTTTAGAATGACAATGTTTTGTGTAAAATAGAACTAGGTGTAATGATGATAACAATGTTAACATTACACATTCTGTACTTGGTACTTAACATTGGACAATGATTTTCTGTTATTAAGTGGTCATTAGAAGTATAAAATATTGGAAAGTTGTGGAGTTCAAAAAATCAAAAGTAATTGTAAGAGATGTGAAGGACCTGTTAAGACAGGAAGACGTCTCATTGACATTTACTTGTAAAAATGTATTTACAGAGAAAATATTGCATTTTAACATTGTGTTTAAATATACAATAGAATCCAATCAACTTGTGAACTTCATGCAAGTACAGTATATGATATTTGGTAGCATGTTTATTTATATAATCTAGTAGAAAATGCCACTGTTAAGACACAGTAAATAATATTATTGCAAACCCTATTGATTAAATGTATTGTTTTTAATTTTTAACTTTCTTTTTGATGAAGGCTATTCTCTGATAGTGACGCAGAATCCCACTGAAGTCGACATTCACCTGAAGACCTCTGTCTCATTGTCATGCCAATGGACAACTAATTCTTCAGCACAGAAAGTCAGAGTAATCTGGTATAAGACTGATCAACCCGCCAATGAATTACAAACAGTCGTGTTAAATGGTACTGAACGGACCAACACTTTCAGCTTGAAAATATCCAGGTCAAATGACTCTGGAGTTTATATATGCAAAGTGATAGTAGAAATCCCACTTTTTCTGCAACAGCAAGGAAATGGAACCCAAGTTTTTGTGTATGGTATGTTTTGTACAGCATCAAAATAATTTTCAGTAACCTAGTGCAATATTTGGTAGTTCTTTAGTATTACTGGTAATATTGCTGACTGGGCTTCGATATAAAATGCAGATAATAATTGTTTTAACCACATTTCTGTTTGGTACAGATGCAATTCGTACAATACATAAAATTGCATGTATTTAAAATATACATAAAATATACGTGTATTTTTTTTATTGCATCAAAAGACAACAAGCAGATTGTTTAAAAAGGACAAGATCACAACCAATCTTTGTCTTCATGGTTTCTTTCTCTTTCCCCCAGAAACCTGAAGCCTTAAACTTGTGCTTTTTATTCTTCCTTTCTACTCCATTCTAACAAAAAATTTACCTCCAATTGTTCAATTGGAAATCACGATGAATTTTCAGCAACATGGCCATACAGATCAGCACCTTCAATGTCATGATGTGAAAAATAGGTCTGATTCAGGACAAAACTTGAATGAGGTACATTGCTCATATCATAGCAGTGTTCCATCCAGGAATTATGTCCACAGACCTCTACGCTTTACAGCCCTGAACAATACTACATGCTGCTGTTCCAAAAGTGCTCTAATAAAGTCCCTTATGCAAAAGACGCTTTTATTTAACATAATCGCTTTTTATTATTTGCACTTGAGAGTAATTTAATTGATAAACAAAACATATCCCTCCAACCTTCCTTTACCTCCCTTATAACGGAAGGCTCAACAAGAAAAACATCATTTTTTAAGTTTCTTTCTATTATTCAATGTGGAATTAAGCACTACCTGTAATCTGACACAACTCTCCACTCTAACCCCTTTGGTTATTTAATTTGATATTGAATAGTATAGACTGTTGAATATGAATAGAAATAGGACCAGCAGGTTTATTTTAAAAGCTGGGTTTTATTAACAGGAAAGCAGAAAGGATGAAAGAGAAAGAAACAAAATGAGCAATAAATGCATGGTCATGCAGTCTAACAAGTGATATGCATCATTTCTCACCAAAGGATAGATCTGATCCTTGTAAGAACATAATCCAGAAAAACAAAAAAAAAACCTTGAAGAACAACTGGCTTTGATTTGTTTCTACATCTGGCAACCCCATTAGTTTTCTGCGGGTGTGAACAATAATTCAGGCAAAATCATTTTCATTATATTATCATAACCCAGGTACTGTAAGACAATCAAAAATGTGTTGCAAAATAACAGGTTACATTGTGGTGTAGTCATCTGAGTGAAAAGATCTGTTTTGTTATCAAACATCTAAAATATGTCTTGAGGTGAGACTGAAAATGGGCATTTGTTGCCTATTTTGTCCTGTACAAGGAAAGATTATTTCATTTAGCACATATACTTTTTGTGTGCACACGCCAATACTGTGGAAAGAGTAGGGACTTGCACACTGTTACAGTATGTATATTGCCAATTTTGCTTTTGTTCTGACACCTCTCCATAGTGTGCTCAGTTTTGCTTTGTAAGAACTTCAGTCAACATAATATTCTTGAGAAATCTCGAGCTCAGGTTTTTGTGTTCGGCAGGTTATAACTCGACAATGGACGCAGGCCTCTCATGGAAGGTCCTGACAGCAGCATGTGCAGGAGGGGCAGCAGTGCTCCTAATTTTAGCAGCGGGCTGTTTAGCCTTAAGAAGAACCTTGAAACAGGAAAAAAAGGAAGAACCGTCAGTCCCCATTTATATGAACTCTACACAAGGTAATAGGGCTGAAAACCAAAACAGAAACAAATGTACAACAAATGTTTAACGTACTGTAAGTTAGTTATCTTCTCCCCTCTGTCATCTTGATGAGATACTATGGAAATTCAAAGGGTTCCCAAAACTCCTACAGGTGTTCTGTTTTCCCTTGAAGCATTGATGTAAGTCAAAATGTAGTGGTTGCTGTCCTTCAAGCACTACTGTGTCCTGCACAGTACTGCTTTGTTTTCGTGCACTGACGCTGCAGGAGTTTCTTTATGAAAACTTTTGTCCATCTCAAAAATAAAGTGTTATCATTTGAAGTTTTAGTGATAGCAAGTAGGAATTTAATCAAAACTACACCAGAATTTAAGAATTAAGAATGCACAATAAGTACAGTAGCAAGACATTTATGTTATTGGTGTTCTTTACAGTTTCAATTGTTTAAAAAAAATACCTCAACATGCAAAGATACCATTAATGTAGTGATTTATGTGCATGCAAATTCTCTTACCCTTAATCTGTTTAATCACTTATCACCTTGCCAATTCAATTGCCACAAGTCCAATGGATAGCATATGCTTTAGAGATTTTGTGCATTACAGTCAACTGGTGCAAAACAATATAATTAGTTATCGCCATAATTATTTGGGGTATTTGGTATATCGCCATAATTTAAATACTTTTTCAAGAAAAAGATTAAATACAGTTAGTGATTTTTATTATCGAATTATTCAGGATCACACAAAATAATTGAAAAAAACACTAAACAAAAAGTTGGTGCTATAGGTTCAATCTGTACATATTGGAAGCTATCTAACCCCTGTCTTGCTCACCTTACAGGTTTTCAGAAGAAACAAATGAGGTAAGAGTTTGAAAATATAAACTAGTTAATAAAATAAACATTTAAACGCCCTTATATGCAAATAGCATTGTTGTAATAGTATATATGGAAGTAAACTGAAGTTTTTTATTTCTCCTATGGCTTCTAGCAAAATCTTTCAGAAGCTTGTGAGAGAACATGAAACTGCTTTTCAGTCAAAAGTAGATACTTCCCTTATCACTATCACTGGAATGATTGGATTATGAAGACAAATTGTACAATACTCTCTGAAATACCACCAAAATTGCTAATTGGAACTACCATGTGAATTTTAACTGGTTTCTGCACTTAAGATTTTGTATTAAAAATAATTTATTTCATATACACTATGTAAATTCCAAGATACTGTATAATGGTCAGAACTCTGATTCAATTGGTGTTTAAATAGTACAGCTTTCTAAATGATTTGTGGGAAAAACACCTGATCATGCTTGATGGTGGTGTTGTTGTATCTATGCCCAGGGTTACCTTAGTCTAAATGAATGCAAAGACACTAGCAAATCTGTTCCTGTACCTCTTCTTTGACAGTTCAGACAATAAATGGAAAAAAATGAATGAAGATCATGGTCCAGAAAACACAACCGTGTCCAAAACATTGCCGGATTCCTATAGGTATGGTAAATCTGAGGAACTTTTCCTTTTATTGAATAACATGTTAGAAAATAATAAGAAAAATTGAAAGAAAATGAAAAACATATGCCATTTTGGGGAATTTAGGCAGATATTGAAAAATGTGCTGACTTTACCACAGTTGAATATTACCATTGTGCTATTCTTTTAAGAACAATTACAAAAGAGAGTTGTGATGTGACCCAACTAGTGATCTTTGATTCAGATTGAATTCCATGGATCGGGCACAGTGCCTTGAGATAGCAGATGGTTGATACAGTATAAAACAATATTTATTGTAATGTACCGTTTTCTCTAATTTAGATTGACCAAAATTCTTTTTAAAAAAAACAAGAGAAGAAAATGCTGAACTTGTAGGAATAGCTGTTTTCAGCAAAATAAAAAGCCTGTGTAGCACTATCCTCAAATTTTAAAAAAGTAAAATTAAAAAAGTTTAACCATTTTTTTACCATTACCAAAAGTAATAAAAAATAAAAATAAATAAAATAGTTAAGGGTATGTTGCAGCCCACCCTTAAAAAAGTGTGCATTCATACTTGCACCAGAAAGCCAGACTAATCTGATCTGATATTTTCTTAAAAATAAAAAAAACTGCTACCAGTATCCACTTCCTCAATCAACAAATTTTTCCTCAAATTTCTAGTGACCAGAACATCTATACAATAATGGATTAAAGATTATCATCAGTAATGAGAGACAGAAAAATTATAAAAGGTCAAATTAGTAAAAAAAAGTACATACTGTAAATTGTTCTAAAAGTAAGAAAAAAAACACCATGTATAAATATTATATTACCAATTATATTAGTTACCATCTGCTTGGGTGTAATTTAGACTGTACAACCTAGTGTGTGCAGAAAATTACCTGGAAGGAGCTGCAAGTTTTAGACCCATTAAACCTGAGTGACTTCAGTTAACATTCAGTTAACATTGCAGATTTTATAAATTAAAAAATGTTCTAGCTGGCCGAGCTCACTGACCTGATATTTTGTGGAAAAAATTTGTAATGTCATCACTGCTTTTTACAGCAATCAATTCATTCGTGTGGACTGCGAAGACATTTTTGCAGTGCAGCGTAAGATGAAAAATAAAAGAGGTACTGCTGAACGTCTTTCATTCTTGTGTTATCATGAAGAATGACCATTTACATGGTAGATACTGAGATGAGACCCATGATTATAAAGCTGAAGATGAGTTGGCTGCAGTCCTATACTGAGGAATATAAAAACTCAATATTGGGGTCCTGCCAAAAATAATTTGCAGACTTTTTTACTTTAGGGCTGAAGTAGACAAGTACAGTACACGTATATTTAGGTCATATTCTAATTTTATAATTAGAACAGGAAGATACTGAGGATAACCTCAGTACTTACTACTGCAAATTCCTGGAGTATAGAGATTCACAATATCTGGATAAAGTTTTAGCTTAGTAGGAATTAGTAAAGCAATGGATTTAACCCGAGGCACTAAGAAATTATATCACCAACATAACTAACAAGTCTCTGTATCAAAAATAAAAAGGACTTTTAATGGTTTTAGAGATCAAGATTAGCTATACTAGACTTTTTTTCCATGTAGAATAGTATAGTAATACAGTTACACCCCGTCAAATAGTGCCATGTGATCTTTAATCACCAAGTAGCCAGGATCTCAATTTCACCTCCCTTAGCACAGCGGCGTTGGTTAGGGAAATGATCCAGCGAAGAGTGTTGGTCCACGAACCCCACAATAGCAGACAACCTGGTTTTCCAGAAGTGTCCCATCCCAGTATTGATCAAGACCACACATTGTGCGGTAGGCTGTAAATTCCATGTAACTCGTTAAGTACAAATCTTTACTTAAGTGTATGAATCTTTAACGTGGGAAGGGTTTTAATTAATGTCCCAATTGTGTTAATGTGCATTTAATGTATGCCACATTCCATACAGTATGTGCATATGATAGTCTTCTTTAATCTTTATTACAAATTATTAGTACAGGAAACTTCAGAAGCTTTAAAAAGATAAGGTGGGTTTAGCGTTTCGAGATGGCCGCTGTTGTTTTAACAGAAGATCACCATGGCACTGTTTTTTGGTATTTAAATGCAAAGGATGAGTATAAGTTTGTGTTTTATTGTAATAAAATGAAATCAAGAGTCAAATCGATTGAGTAGAGATACAACTTTAAGACTTTCTCGTATATATGTTGTTAAATTAAGTTAATATCATATACAACTAACGATTGCATATGATTTTATATATATATATGTGTGTTTTATATGTCTTTTGCAGCTAATTTTTTCATGGGTAATGCTAACTCCTCCTTGAACACAGAGGGTAAATTTCAAAGAAAGAGAAGGTCAGTTTTTTTGTTGTGCAAGCTTACTACGCGCAGACTTTAGAATCCATTTTCTTTTAAAAAGGAGTATAAACGATAATTACATCTGCATAATTGAGATCACTTGAAATTGGTACTGTTTTTTACAGAATGTCATCAATTATAAATTTTGAGAGCCGCTTAGGAAATTCCGAATCTGCTGTTTCACGTCTGAAAAATACTTTCAGACGTGAAACAGCACAGTGTCTCCCCCTGCTGATGATGTCTTTAGCCCTTTCAAGTGATTTTTGACTGAATCACTCTGGAATCGCAAGTCATGAAATCTAATTTGGAAAACAGCTAGTTTTAATCTCTTTATTGTAGGGATTTCCTGTAGATTTCAATATAGAAATGTGTACTTTTTTATTTTATTTCAGCCTGCACATATATATAAACAGCAGAGATCTGAGGAAGCAGACTCAACAGCCCGTAGGAGGTATGAATAGCAAAGCAACAATTCATCCTTCATTTGTGTGTGCATCAGCTACAACATCCTTTTTAATATTGATACTTGCAGTTCACTTTGAGCTATACTGGGAGACAATCACATCATTTTATGAACAATGAAGCTTCTAATTTCTTGGGGCAACTTTCAATGTACAGTAATAATCACAGGAGATCCACAATTGTGACTGGATGTGGTATAACAGATACTATGACAGGAACATCCTGCAGTTGAGGATGCTTCTGTCAAATGTGATAAACCCAGTATCACGTTCTGATTGCATCTAACCATCCCCATTGTTTAATAACACAGTTCTGTAGGGTTAGCCATCAGAAAAGATCAAACCTTGATTCATTTTCCTGTCAACTGTGACTAAGTTTACTCCCATTTACTGCCTAGTATTGCCGTGCAAGTCCATGTACAGTAGATGAGGAAGGATTTTGCCATAATAAGGTGTACGGCACAGCAAGAAATTGTCTGCCTGATGTCTTCTGACCTTTCTGCCACTAATCAGATAGTTCTGAGTGTCAGTGACAACATCTGGTATACAAATTCTTTCTTGCTATTAAAACACATGAGATAGGACAAAAAGCACGATCACCAACAGAAGCACTTACAGTTCTAATGTGATCTAGCAGAGGAGAAATGTGGTTAATAGGTGAACATGAAATAGGTGTGCAACCAACTACAGCCACCTACTAACCAACCACGCTGAACCAGCAGTTCGGAAACAATGACAGAATAATTTCCCACCCATCACAACACCTCCTAATTGCTTGCTTTAAATTCACTATGAACCACAGAAGGAAACCGAGGGTATGTTCAAAGTTTTTACTTAAGATATCATTATATTTTTACTGCCTCTCAGTATATTGTTGTTTCACATATTGTTCTCACCAGACGTTAATCACAGCTGTTCTCACTGTGTCAAATCTGTTGAATTAATACACTTTTGTACATGTAGAATAGGAAAACCAGATTCAGCACAAAACTGAAATCAAAATATATGTTAGTTATATGATAAATATGTATACTTAAAATAAATATCTTCATTTTTGTAAGGGGAAGTTCAGAGATGGGAAAAGAAAGTGTACTAAGAGTGGACTTGTATTCTAACTGAGGCAATACAGTTGTGTTTCACTTTGTAGCATCTAATTTTACTAAAACGTTTGACATATTCAATATATTTAAATTATCTGCTGGATTTTTCATTATTTCTCTGCCATGTCTAGGCAGGGATATTCAATCAACATCTAAGCTCCAATCCTCTATGAAGAGAAAAGAGGCATCTGTAGAATAAACTTATTGTAGACAGGTTTATTAAAGCAATGGATGCATGACTGATAAAATAAGTGTTGAAATAGGTGTGATAGGAAGAACTGACATCATGTACATTTCAGACTAACAATAGTAAAATTTAGTTCATTAGCAAGAACTAAAATCATGTGCAGAGTTTAAAGTTAAAGAAAAAAATAAAAAAATAACTTGCATACCTGTAAATGTGTTCAGTTCAGTTCAAATGTTTCAATTCATTCTTAAACCTGTTCGAATAATTTTCAGCACCTTCTCTCATGTTCTAATTCATGATAAAGTCATGCTTATAGAACAGACTTTATTTTAAGGAGACAGTGCATGTGCTTAAAAAATGAATAGGTAGATATAAGATTGGGTTCTTCATAAATCAACAGTATAAGAAACAAATGTTTTAGTAAAATTGGGCTCTGCATTTAAATCTATTCTTCTTAAAATTACAATTCAATACGGATCTCCACATACAGATTGTTCCTTCTGTTTATAGGGGTTAAAACAATGTTAGGTTTCTGACAGATCACTTGAGTGTAGATTTTGCTTTTATGCACTTACAAAGACCCATATCAAATAATTTAGTATAAACATACAGTCATACAAAACAAAGGTATAGATGTAGACCTAGCCTCATACAAATCAAATTTAGTTCCAACTACAAAAATGATTAAATATCCAATTCTTCTTTTTATAAAACCAAGGGGTGAAAGAGACATATCCAAAAAATATGTTACTTATCTTTAAAAACTAATAACACAAGAGTAAACCTTAAATATTTTGAGAGACAAAGAATTCTCCCTCTTTAAAGGGAAAGCTTTAAAGGGTACAGTATATCTCCTTAAGTGTGCCTTCACAATCTGGCCTGATTCGTTTTTCAGTATCCAGTGCCAGTAACTGGAGTTTCAATGCCAATATCACTGGTTCTTTGCTTACTGACACATGTACTGTATGAAAACTCAGTTAATGTAAATAATTAAAATTAATGTATTTCATTTTTAATAATCAAAACAAGCAAAGCACTGTGCTGATTTGTTTCCTTATCAGATTTTCCTCAACAATCTGCTAATCTGCTTTATCCATTAATTTTGTTTCCTTTCCATACAGACAATCTTGCTCACAAGATTTGTGACCCTGTCAAAAATCACAAAAACAAAATGGTCAAGTCCGGAGACAACTGTGAAGATGTGTAATACATTTATTAAACAAAACATGTTAGTCTGATATTAACATCTTAGTAAATTAATGTCTTGATAATGTTTTGATAATGTTACAATATTTTCAGTCAGGAACTTGCACTGGCATTCACTAGTATTTAGGTTAAAATGTTAACCAAATAATTGATCCTTTCACAGATTAATGTCTGTGAAAGGATATTGCTAATTCCTGTTCTGGACAGAAAAGAAACATTATGTACAGTAATTATATGGCTTTGCTGTTAATTGTTACTTATGGTAAAGCATTATATATGTGTGAAGCCTTATAAATAAAATGTTTTATTTTAATGTTGTTTTTATTTAAAGAAAGCACCTCAATCTCTACAAATTAATCAATGCCATGGATTGCATCAAATATACCAAGATTTATTTTCTCAGGAGTATGTGCAAATGAATGTATATCCATAAATGTATATCATGCTCCAGATTCTTGTATTTGTTTGGAATTTTATATAAATAAATCAATTTTTAAAATTATTTTAAAAGTCTGTATATATCCTTGTAATTCCTGAAAGACAGTATGCCATATCCAGGTGGGGCTGCACATTGGTGGTGGTGGAGGGGAGTCCCCATTACCTGTAAAGCGCTTTGAGTGGAGAGTCCAGAAAAGTGCTATATAAGTGTAAGCATTTGTTCTTGTTCTTGTTCTTGTTCTTGTTCTTGTTCTTGTTCTTGTTCTTGTTCTTGTTCTTGTTCTTGTTCTTGTTCTTATTGTAGGGTCCCTGCATCCTCTGAGTAACATCTCATAGGGTCAATTGCAATGTGCTGGAGGATCTCTTAAAGAACTGTATACTAACCCTGAGATAATCTCCAGTTAATACACTGTTCTCAGATTGTTCCAATTGACCCTGAAGGAATGGAAATTTATCAACGCATTGGTAAAATAATTTTAGATTGCTTTTATAAACTTAAACATGCTTTAGCAGAAGTAAATATAGGTTGTTTTTGCAAAGGTGTTTTGTTCTTCCCACATATGCTAAATTAAGAAAATGTGTCATAAAGAATGTTTGATTAGCTCTGTCTGTAGGCTGGTTTAAGATGTAGTATGCTGGTACTTTTAACCGCAAGAAAACTAACATGTATCAAGGTCATCTAAGTGTGATAGCTTAGCAATTGACAAGAAGATTTAAAATTAGGTACAGGGTTAGGCCACATAAGGGATTTTTGCTTTTTTAAAACTTAACAGTTCCTTATCTTAGTTGTAGGTCTACAATAGAATAAAAAGGATTATAACAATATGAAAGGTTACTTAAGGGGAAAATGCTTATGCTACACTACATGGGGTTGGTGAAAGACTTCTCCAGATAACTATTTTGTAATGGTTTAAATAAAAAACATACCTGAGTTTTTGTGTCGTGCTAATCTTATTCTTTCATCTTACTCTTACTCTTATAACAAATCAGTGATGTTATATTGAAGGTATCTTTCAAACTAGATGCAATAGGAAGCCATCGGTCGGAAGGTTTTATCTGGTAGATTTTGGATGTGTGTGTCTCTTTTAGAGAAACAAGCTATCTTAGTAAAAGAAAACAAACAGCTAAAAGGCAAAGGCACATTGTTTATTTCTTTTCCAATGTGAAATATGAAGTCATCCCTCAAGAAAAAAACAGTATTGTTTAAAAACGTCCAGACAGCAAAAGCAATTCTGTTCTATTTTGGCACGTTGCCTGGAATATAGTTAGGCTCCACAGATTTACACCTCTAATCTTTGACTCTGGGATATTTACGGAGACACGAGTCAGACCAAAGCTTACAAAAAGCAGTTCTTTGCCAACACCAGTTTATTTAAAGATAATAATGGTTATGTAAGTCTGTATCCAGTTTCATAGAAGAGACACTTTCTCAGAACAAAACACCAAAGCCCCTTTTTCAAGTTCAAGTTCAAGTTTATTGTCATTATACTCATATACAGGTATATGGTATAACGAAATGCTATTTAGCTAGCTCTCGGACATAAGTAGTACAAAGAAAACAAAAACAAAAAAAACAACAACAATACAATTGTATAACAAAAGAAAGGCAGAGACAACAGACGATGTGCAAAACAACAAAAAGGTAACAGGTTATGTGCAAAAACATGCATCAACAGAATGAAATAAGGGATAGAAATTATGGGGAGTGAGCTTTTGACATGTATGGTAGAGGTAGATTTTCAATGTGTGTTTGGGTTTTTGGTAAGAAAGAAGGCACTGTGAGGTTCAGATCATAGGTGATAGTTGAGGTGAGAGTGAGAGAGGCTGGGAGTTTAACAGTTTGATAGTGCGGGGGTAAAAACTGTTTCTGAGTCTGGTAGTCCGGACCCGAATGCTCCGGTACCGTTTTCCAGATGGTAGCGGATCATACAGTCTGTAGCTGGGGTGTGTGGGGTCTTTGATAATGCTTAGAGCTTTCCTCAAGCACCGTCTATCATAAATGTCCTGTATAGATGGGAGGGCAACCTCAGTGATGGACTGGGCAGTTTTCACCACCCGCTGTAGGGCTTTGCGGTCAGCAGTACTGCAGTTGCCATACCACACTGTGATGCAGCCTGTCAGTGTGCTTTCTGTAGTGCATCTGTAAAAGTTAGTGAGGATCTCAGGACATATCTTAGCCTTCTTCAACCATTTTAGGAAGTACAGGTGCTGTTGAGCTTTCTTGATCAGACAGGTGGCATTGAGAGACCATGTGAGGTCCTCGGTGATATGGACGCCAAGGAATTTAAAGTTACTGACCCTTTCCACTTCAGTCCCGTTGATGGATAGGGGCATGTCTGGTTTGCAGTTTCCTGAAATCAACGATCAGCTCCTTGGTTTTGCTGATGTTGAGGGTGAGGTTGTTGTCATCACACCATGTTGTAAGGACATTGACCTCCTCCCTGTAGGCCCTCTCATCATTGTCTGTGATCAGACCTACAACTGTGGTGTCATTGGCAAACTTGATGATGGAGTTGGTGTTGTGTTTGGCCTTACAGTCGTGGGTATAGAGGGAGTAGAGCAATGGACTAAGCACACACCCCTGGGGAACCCCAATGTTCAGAGTTAGTGTGCCAGAGGTGTGGTTTCCAACCCTGACAGCCTGAGGTCTGCCTGTCAGAAAGTCCCGAATCCAGTTGCAGAGGTTGGTGTTGAGACCCAGTGCACTGAGTTTCTTGACTAGTTTCTCTGGGATGATAGTGTTAAAAGCTGAGCTGAAGTCGATGAATAGTAGCCTTGTGTATGTGTTCTTTTTGTCCAGATGGGATAGGGCAGTGTGTATGGCAATGGAGATTACGTCATCCGTGGATCTGTTGGACCGGTAGGCAAACTGGTACGGGTCCAGTGTGTTTGGAATGTTGTCCTTAATGTGCTCGAAGCACTTCATGATGACAGGTGTTAGTGCCACTGGTCGGTAGTCATTAAGACATGTCACTGTGGTTTTCTTTGGTATTGGGATGATGGTGGTTGTCTTGAAGCAGGTGGGGACTACGGCCTGGGCCAGAGACATGTTGAAAATGTTTGTGAATACACCCGCCAGTTGATTGGCACAGGCTCTGAGGACACGACTGGGTATGCCGTCAGTTTCTACTACATCAGTTTCTACTACAAACTGATTTTCATGTTCTAACATTTATACACTCTAAACAGAGCTCAACCAAGAAAAATAAGATAAGCAACTTTTGCTAGATCTTTTTTGTGGGAAGTGTTTCTGACACAGTACTCCAGTGTGGTGACTGTTTATTAAGGCCGGACAAGGCAGTGAATTGAACATATATCACTACTTATGAGTAATTAAAAAGTAGAAAACACAAAATGTGAGCAATAATCAAAATGTTTAATGTAATTAATATAATTGTGCTCTCCTCACAAACAAATCTCTTTTATTGGATTACAAAAATAAAATTTTCTAATCTGAAGTCACAGGTGGCAGGTTTGATCTGGTCGAGTGTGGCAGTGGGCGCCTTCTAGCGGAGACTAGTAGGATTTTGACCGCTCAGAGCACTTATGCGCTACTCGTTTTTTTAAAATTTGTAAATGTAGCATCCTATAAAGATATACTATCGTATCTTGAAGTCATGAAGTAAAAAGAATCTGAAAATTCGCAAATACATTTTCAGATTTCTCCTACATTCACTAAATCTTTTAAATCTTTCAATCACTAAAACTTTTGTCGCTAAATCTGCAGGTATTCAGTAGTATTACAATAGATGATCAAATCATTTTAAACATGTATGTATTTGACAATGTGACTAGACAGTGTCGTCTAGGATGTTTGGGACCTAAAGATTTTACTTAACAATCAGTGCCTATGTTGTAACATCAAGAAATTCAGCAATAGACATCTACATTTTCGCTCGCTTTAGTGTATACTTTATTCAGTAAATAGACTTTGGAGCACCATATATTTTTTAGGTTTTCCAGTCCAACATTGCTACAACCTCCCTCCACGTTTTCCTTCGTCTGACCCTGAACAACTCGCTGCAAATCTAAAAAAAACTACAATTCCCAGCATGAGGCGTTCTAAGTGGTCTTCTGACCAAAGACAGATATAAACTGGGGTCACTGCATATATTAACCTGACACTCTTGGGGAGGGGGTATGTCAGCATCTTCAAAAAATATATAAACTGATTTTTTTTTTTACCTTATATACCAGTCGTTGTAATACTTAGTAAACATAACTGATGACTCATTGACAAAGGTAGAAAAAGATATGTACAATGTAAGAAAAGTTTAGAGCTGACGCTCAGGCCACCCCCTCCGGTCAGGTGACGTGTTGGCGCTGCTCGATCGCCGCCTTCGCCTTGGCGCGTTGTGTGAAAACTGTTCATCCCGGAAAACTACTCGCACTTCTGGTTCAAAGGTGCGGGAGGGTTCGTGGTTCGGTAGAAAAACGATCGAAAAAATGTCTTTTAGAAGTAGTTCAAGGCATCGTGAAAATTACAGACACGAAGATAGTAGGTAAGAGCACATATCCACAGTTGTTGAACTGTTTACATTGTAACGCTTTTTTGACCTCGGAGTATGTGAAGGTGGTGTTAGGAAAACTAATGGCGCGCCAGCGAAATGCACAAAGTACAGCCGATCGTTAATCTTGCGTGGTAATATCCTGCATTTAAACTATTTATGGAAAGAAAACAATTGATTCTATCCTTATTGGTTTAAATCGCTTGTTCGTCGAACAGTAGTTGAAATCGGCGGGTTACTGGTGAAGAAATGTAAATAATGGTTATGTATCTAAAGTGTGGCATCTAAAATGCATCACTTCTTTTGGGAGCAGAGTAAGTTACTGGGTGTTTTCGTTTTTTTTACGGCGTATGCTGTAAAGGAAGTTGACGAAATGTAACACAAAGGCTTTAAGGCACAAGTGTCTGATGGGGGAAATGGAGGGTGTTTTTAGCGGGTGTGGTGGGGTGTCTTTATCGCTGGTGTCGCGATTCCTTGTGTTTCGGGGCTCCATGGTCGGGGAGCGGGAAAGGGCGGCAGAGCGACCTGAATTGTTCGTGGGGCGATGCAGCAGTCGCGGGCTGTGGGATGAAGGCACCGGGGCTCCTTTGAGCGACACATCCCGGCGTGTGCTTAATCCGAAATTCACGAGTCCTGGGATTTGTATCGAATGTATTTAAATGATCGCAGATCAAGTGGAATCTGAAGGATGCATGTAGCTGATCTAAGGATGTTGTTAACCTGTTTGATGGCAAAAATGGCGGTTGGCGCGAAAACAAAAAGACGTGCCCAGGGTATGGCATTTGTAGCCCTTCTCGACAGAATCTGAACAGAACAGAATCACTGGACTGATGGCCGCAGGGTTTCAAATAACGGTGCATTGGTTCGTGTCACTAAAAAGTGATTTGGTATTTTCTCTTGTGAACGGGTTAGTTGAAACCGGAAGGTTTCGTTACGTTACCAACATTTTAGCTCTTCAATTAGCCTAGACGAAAATTGATGTATTTTGTATTCATGTACTTTTATTTGATCTTTACGATTTCAAGAACACTGTTTATTAGAGCAGTAAAATTTTCAAGCTTTGCGAATACTAAATGGGACGTGTTATTCGTTCACGTCTGTTGTTGCTAGCATAATGTAGCGGGTTTCGATCGGCTACAATGTAAACGTCGAAGTATGGAAGTAGTAATTTGCATGTGTACAATGCATTACAGGAGAAGGGGCCCTTCGAGGTGGTCTCACTGCCGGAAACGAGGGGCAGATGGTAGCCTGAGACCCCATGATGATCCGGACTCCACTGTGTTTGATGATGGAGAGAAAAGGAAACACAGCCACAGATCCGCAACCAGCGATTTCAGGCCAGCTAGGTAAAATGAAACAGATTTGAAAGAGAAAAACATGATACAATTTGCAGTTATCTTATAAATAAGGAACAAGTAATAGGTTTATTCCATGCTGGAAAAAAAAGAAGAAAGAAAACACAACGTTTCGGCCTTAGAGCCTTCTTCAGGTGTCAAGAAGGCACCACGGCCGAAACGTTGTTTTCTTTCTTCTTTTTTTCAGCATGGATTAAACCTATTACTTGTTTCTTTGCAGGCTACGCATAAAACCGACAGGTGCATTCCACTAAACTGTGGGGCTGTGTTGTATGGACTGAGTATTAGAATCTCTTGCCTTGTTTAATAAGTAGCCAATAATCTTGAATATTTAGCATGAATATAATATTAGCTTTTTGCTCAACCATTACAGTGCAAAGTTAAATCTGCATAATAAAAGGAGGTAAACCCCCTGTTGTGTTCTGGTTAGTTAGATAGTTAATCCCAAGCAGTTCCAAAGTTCATCAGTATGTTGTAGTTCTTATGTGTTCTACCTAAATTAGCAAAATGGGACTTTTTTTCATTGACACGCACTTGCCTCTTAGGTGTAACTTGAAGTAAGCTTAAGACTCGTACCTTTTATTCTTACACTATATCTAACACCAGAAACTGGCAGTGTTCCTTTAAAATATTCCCCTCAGTGTCTGAGGTACTGCAGGACAGCTTTGGGGAAAGTAGATGAATATTGCAGATTTTTCTTCAGTTTCACCACTCCAGAGAGCGAGGGTCCTGTGCCGAGGAGTTTGGACTGGGGAAGTGAAGTGGAGAGGGATGAGTTGCGGACAGACGTCAGAAGGGACATGCAGAGGTTAGTACTCTCGCCCTGAAGCAGATGCGGTAGGTTTCTTTTGCTGTGGAAAGCTTGCGTAAAGGACAAAGCATTTTGTTCTCATTCCCAAAGGACTGCTGTAAGTGTTGTTGGTCCCAGTCTTATTTTTCTTAATGTGGCCTAAGTGCATAGTGTAATGATACAGGCATCCTTTCTGACTGGCAAGTTCAGTGCTCTGATCAACCTGCAACATACTTTTTCTGCTTTATGGGACAAAGTGTTGCTATGCATTCTGAAAATGATTTTGCGTGCTCCAAACTAGGCAAAAGTCAAAACGTTACAAACTAGCCGGAACCTGCGGATTTTATACTGTACCGATGCTCTTGCCTACTCGAGGAATGAGGCACCTGTGTGAAAGTGTTTTTCAGGATATGCCGGACAGGGTTTTCTTTCATTTCGAGCTATGTAAAAAAAAATGTTAAGCATTGGTTTTGCTTTATGTTTTTAAATCTCTCAGCCAAGCAGTCTAATGTTATAGTTGCACTTTGGAGTGTTTGTGTGTTACTGACCGCTTTATTGAAGGGAATGTGTTTTGCGCTAAAGGCTTTTTTATTTTGTTTCAGGTATAGGAGGAGAATCTTGGTAAATGACTTCAATGAAAGGGAAAGAAAAACCTCTTCGGGAAGGTTTGTGCATTGTTGTATATTTGACCGTTTAAAATTCTTGGTAGAGTCAAGACACCTAATCATCAGTGATTACGTTTGCAAAGACTATAGTTTATATATAGGAGCAAGTAATAGGTTTATTCCATGCTGAAAAGAGAAGAAAGAAAACTCAACATTTCGGATATGGAGGCTCCACGGACGAAACATTTGTTCTTTCTTCTCTTTTCAGCATGGAATAAACCTTTTACTTGTTCCTTTGCAGCCTACGCATGCTGATGCAGCTCCCCACCTGAACTACTAGTTTATATACATGTGTGTTGCTAAAGCTTGTACTCGTGTACAGACATCAAAATATGCAAAGTTAAGATAGTGAAAATAAAAATTGTTACCACTTTTAGGCTTTGTCCCTTTACTGGAATAGAACATAGTTTTAAAATTTTCCTGCTTTTAGAGTGCATATGGTGCATGATGGTTATCACTGCTGCCTCACAATTATTGAGCACAGGTTATATTACAGATGGGGGTGCCTTGTGTGTGGAGTTTGCATGTTTCCGTGGTGTTCACGTTCTAGTAAAACCTGCTGTGTGTGCCTGTCTTGTGGTCACTCCCAAGTCCTGCCTTGCTCCCTTTGCTTGTGGGAATGGGCTTCAGTTTCTCCAAGGAAGAAGTGGCTTTCTGTAAATGTTTGGCTGGATAGTAGCTAATGTTTCTAATCGTCTTTGATCTGCAGTTCTGATTCCAGGGACTCTCCTGTACCAACTGAAATGGAGACTGATGAGGCGGTGCTGATGAGAAGACAAAAGCAGATAAACTACGGGAAAAACACAATTGCCTATGACCGATACATCCGAGAAGTTCCCAAGTAAGTAAAATAAACAGTGAAGACATGTATGCAGTACAGGAAGACAGATTGTTTGCTCTTCTTTCATTCTGACTTTAAGAATGACACAAGCCAATGAATGACTTTCTACTTTAGTAATAGAAAATGAGCCGGCATCAGTAATGTGGTCAGTCTTATGCTCATCTTGTCTTGATTCTCCCAGACATCTTCGCCAGCCAGGGGTGCACCCTAGGACTCCTAACAAGTTCAAGAAGTACAGCCGGCGGTCTTGGGACCAGCAGATCAAGCTGTGGAGAGTGAAACTGCATCAGTGGGATCCTCCAGTGCAGGAAGGCAGTGACCTGCAGGCCATGTATGTACTGTTTGTGCATCAGCACTCTAAAGATATTTCTGTAGACTCGACATCAGAGAAACCCACTCCATATACATTTGTTTTAAGAAACATTTTTTGATTTTATGTTGAATAAGTCATTCATGTTTGACCGTGAAATACCGAAATGACCTATGTGTGAATAAATATTAGGCCTGAATCACTGTATGAGAGTGAGTTAATTGAGCACAAGTCATGATGGGATTTGGCTCGTTGAATGTCAAGCCTGGGGAGAACTGGAAAAGAACACATTTGCCCCGATTATCAGAACAGAAAGGCCTTCAAGCCATTAGTATGTTGGTGGCTGCTCTAGGTTAGAGCACAGGAAAATCATCTGGAGCGCTCACCAGTCAGTGCTTCCTGAATTGGCAAGACAATGTAGGCAGACCGTCTACAAGTGACGGTCTAGGATGTGGGAGAACATGCCGTAATTGATGGGGGAGGTCGAGGTGCGTGATGGTCTGGACAGGAGTATCTTATGACTACAGAGTACTTGCCATGATTGATTGGCAACAGGATTACACAGCAGGACCCTGGTCAAGTATCGGGACCTCATGGGCTGTCTTTTCTCTGTGCTCATCCTGTTGTGAGATCATTCCAGCAGAGCAACACATGTCCTAGGGCTGTTCGTTTAAGAACCTCTTTTTTGTGAGATGAAAATGTGATGGCGCTGCTTGCCAAACCTGAGTCTCCTGGAACATCTGTGGGATGAGCAGGGGTGATGTGCCACCTGGGGCTTCAGGAAGAGTGAACTCTGGAGTAGGATCCCATAAGACCGCATCTGCAACCTATTTGACCAAATCAATAGCAGGTGTATAGCTTGTGTTGCTCCTAACAGTGGTCACAAATTATTCTGTGACTTTCACACTAGATACCCCATTGATGATCAGTCTTAATTGGCTTAATTAACTTAAGGAATGTGTTCAATAAGATAATTGCTGCACCTGCTACAAAAGGTATTTTCGTGATGAAACCTTCGTGATTTGCTTGCAGTTATACGTTTTTGTTGCTTGGTAGATACAGGACTAGTTTTGGCTAAATGAGAAACATTCTGACTTGCAAAGGGGGTAACAGTGTTGTCTGGTTTTAAATCCGGTTCATCCTTTCTTGCAGTGAGGAGATTGATCTTGATGACGTCATGGAGACGGAGTCAGGGGCCAGTAGCTCAACAGAATCTGGGGCAAGTTTACAGTACCTGAAAGCCAGCAAAGCCCCTGCATCAACACCTGAAGTAAGCTTTGTTCGCTCGACATACCCTGATGTGGCATTAGAGGCTGGACAGAGAGCGCAAGTGAAAGGAAACACAAATGCAGTTGCTTATAATGGAGTCGATTTTAGAATCCGTCAACTAGCTTTACGGAAGTATTCCATCATTGTGTGGTGCCACCAAATGCAGTCACCTTTTATGTTTCTTTGTATTGTACGGTAGGTAGTTAGGTTCCCGATATAGGAAAATACCCCAAATTGCATATAATCAGAACCCCCCCATACCATCCCATTCCCCTCCCCTAAACAAGTCAAATCAGTCGTAAGTGTCTATGTATACATGCATGTATTTTAAAGTATTATGGAAATGGTAATACAGCAAATCCAGTACTGTACAGTATTTTAAAAATGGCAGATTAATAAACTACAGGGAACACAGCAGATGCTTAGGTCTCGGGAACAGCCTCCTCTTTGCCTTTGATTGCATGGATCGAAGATTCATTCTTCCAATACATACGTGCCAACCCCGTCACTGTCATCCCATCCCCTAAGCTTGTTCAAATTTATTTATTTTTTTACCCGTAAGTCAATCGCTGTTTTTGACTAGTTTTTTTCCCGCCTTGTGCTTGTTTTGGGTTTGCGAGCCATATTGAGAGTGGTGCCACATGATAAAGAAAGCACCGGCGTGCTACAGGCTCTATAACAAGTTTGCAAATTGAAGCTCCAGTGTGTGCGGCACCTTATTTCAATGCTTGAAATATCCCGGACTGTTTGATGTTTCGGGTATTTTTTGTTTGCAAAGACAGGATGGGTGTTAGAATCTCGTCATTGTTTGGTGGTGTTGCTTTCTTAAATTCACATTTTGCTGCCGTCGGGTTTTTTTGTTTGCCTCTCAAGCCTTTCTTGTCGTTCGGTTTAGGACTCTTGCTGTGTGACTCCAAGCAAGATGATGCGACTGGAATCCCAGGTGGACGGTAGCTTTAATCTGGAGGCATGCTTGAACGAAATTCAGGAAAATTCCAGCTGGCTGACTTCGTAACGTGCCGCTTGGCCCTTCGTTGTGCATGAGATCACCCTGGAAAAAAAAAAACCCTCCAAAGGAGTCGGCTTCGCAGGATTTGCGGGCACCCGAACGAAAGCATTTGCCGCACTCAGTAGCGAGGGCTGTGCGGGTGGAAACCAGGCCCGTGTGGAAAGAGGACATGTCTCATGCATCGTTGTGTCCCATCATGTGTGGTTTTGTTTCTCTGGGCAAATCGATCAGTGCCTGCTAATACTGGGGCTGACAGACAGTGAAAACTCTCGCCTGCCACCGTTACTGTCCAGAAGTCCCGTGTGTGCAAAATGTTTTTTGAAAAAACTTTGTAGCAAAGAATTCAGTTTGTGTTTGTGTAAATATTATGTAACTTTTTATCGTGATTTGTTTTCGTAAATGCGGTGTTTCATTTGGTCAAAAAAAAAGTGTTCTGGTGTCCGAGTTTTGGTGTATGTGCTAGTTTGGGGAAAAGGTCTTGCTCGTGCCTACTGAGATGTATTTAATAGAACGTGAGCAAAGGGGATGTGCTAGCAAGGGCCAATTTCAGCTTTTTTGATTTAAAAGTTATTAAAGCAGAATATTGGGTATGCATTGTACAACTGCCAGTTACCTAATATTCCTGGTGAAGTTTTTACACTAAGGACTTCCTCTTACCGAGGTTCAACTGTGGACCTGGAATTTACAAATCTTTTTTTCCCCAGACACTGAGTGAGGACAGGATCCAATTCAGAGCAAAATGCAGAGTTCTGTTTTTCCTGTTTCTGATCCTATCGTGTTGCATTTAGTATTTCCTGGTCAAACAAAATCTTAAGATACCTGTCTAAATCTTCATTTTAAAGCCTCAGTTTTAAGATTTATTGCACTGGACTGACCTTTAGCTGTAGGTTGCAATGATGTTTACAAACTGGTCCACCACTAAAAAAGGAGGCAAATGCTTCCATGCAGTTTGATCTTTAAGAGTTAATTTTCTTAGTGTTCTGTATTGCAGTGTTCATGCTTTCAGTGTAGTTTTAAAGGACAAACAGCAATTTCTCAACTTGCAGTCCTTCATTAGTAGTGTACAAAAGGTTTGGTTGCATTATTTTTGTAAGAACGCATTTGGGCTTTAGGTAACATTTGCATAGATATAACTATTTCAGATTGCTATTTTGAAATGCAAATAAAATGGTTTTGATATACCAAAACACGCAGAACCAGATGAGTTTTTACTTTTAACCATTTTAAGTTGTCTTTTGTCAGTTTACATTTATATATTTTTTCTGGTTGGCATATTGATTGTTTTGTCTGTGGATATAAATAATTATGTATCCTTGTTAATGTTTATTTCACATTGTTTTATATATGAGGTTTGCTTACTTGAATAATAAAATGTGGGTTTTTGTTTTACACAACCTGACTAAAGGTACTTAGATACTTGGTTAAAAGATAGTTGGTTAAAAGATCTATTTCTAATGTTTTGATGTAAAATCTTAGTGGGGCTCTCTTGGTTAGACAATTGAGCACTTAGAGTGTACTGGTGCAATATTCTATCACTTTGTTTTGATAAGGTTGATAAACCTAGGTTCCACCCTAAAAGCCAATTAAAAAAAGCTGGCTTTTGACTGGCTAAACACCTTAAAGTCCTGAAGATTTCAGGCAGCTGGGCTACAGCTGTACCAAGTGCAGCAAAATCCCTTTTCTCCTAAGGAAAATTGATGCGCTGGACAGGGGATCTTTGAGAGCAATATGGGATTGAGGATCTGACAAATGCCCTATTCATGGAGATATGCACCCCAAATCATCAGAGTGAAAAAGCAGACGAGCTGGTCCCAGGTTGTCAAAGGAAATCATTAATAATCCAATAGTGGCACCAGAAAGCACTGGATCTGATAAATTGGTAAAACTGTTTTACCCATTGGTGTTCCTCAAAAAGAGTAGGGGGTGTAACCCTGGTATCCTGGTGAAATTTCCAATTAGCCTTTGCCAATCATGGCCTCCTAATAATCCTCATCTATGAACTGGCTTCATCACACTGTTCTCCCTGCTGATAGCTGGTGTATGGTGAGTGTACTGGGGCACTATGGCTGCCATTGCAGGTGGGGCTACACGGTGGTGGTGGTGGAGGGGAGTCCCCATTACCTTTAAAGCATTTGGAGTGGAGTGTCCAGAAAAGTTGCTATAATAGTGTAAGATCTTATTATTAATACTAGAGCACAGATAAGAGGTGAGTGTCCAGACTGGGGTGGTGTGATTAATGGAATACTACCAGCTGTGCAGGAGAAGCCCCCATACCCAGGAATCAGGAGCTATGAGGCAGAAGTGCTGAACCACCAGACTGCCCAAATGCTAGAAAGGTTAGAAAGGACTGGAGGCCAGTCATGTGACACGTGTTTGGTTTCTAGTATGTTGTTGACCCAAGAAGCTTTTACAGCCAGTTCTTGAAAGCAGCCTGGGTATAAGCTTTCACAACATCTGTGGATGGCGTTGTCCATACCCCTCCAGCCATTTGTCTAATGAAGCACTTCCTGTTCTCAACTTTACATTCATCTATTCGCTATCTGTTTCCGTTTTATTCAATACAGGCTATTGGAGGAACCTCTGTCTTTCCTGGCAAGCAACAGGAAGCAGGAAACTTTCCGGAATTGGATGCTAGCCTATTGCGGGGCATAGACAAACACAAACACACTCAAAACAGGGCCAGTTTTCCCAAAAGCCAATTAAACTATCGGCATGTTCTGGAACTGTGGGAGGGAACAGAACCTGGGGAGAATATACAAACTCCACACAGAGAGCACCCCAGGAATTGAACCCAGACCCAGAACAGAGCTGCCAGGCAGTGATAATAACCAGTACACCACCCTGCTACCTGTTTTATATTCAATTTCCCATAATTTCCACTTGTTTCCTCTGTTTTGAGTTTTACTGTTAATTCCAAAGAAGTACATCTGTCAGTATCTTAAAAGACTGAATATTTGCATATGATTGTCAGTATGGATCCCTGCATTTCACAACTGACAACCCCCTGAAGCTCAGCAGGTATGAGTCTGGGCAGTACCTGGATGAGAGACCTCCTAGGAAAGCTGAGGTTGCTGCTAGAAGAGGTGTTAGTGGGGCCAGCAGGGGGTGCTCACCCTGCGGTCTATGTGGGTTCTAATGCCCCAGTATAGTGACAGGAGCACTATACGGTAAAAAAGGTGCTGTCCTTTGGATGAGATGTTAAACCAGGTTCCTGATTCTCCTCGGTCATTAAAAATCCCATGGCCTTTCTCAAAAACAGCAGGGGTGTTACTCCAATGTCCTAGTCTTTATCAACATGGCCTCCTAGTAATACCCATCCAGGAATTGGCTTCATTACTTTGTCCCCCCCCACCACTGACTATGGTGAGTGTACTGTGTACACTATGGCTGCTGTCACATCATCCAGATGGGTGCTGCACATTGGTGGAGGTGGAGAGGAGTCCCTGTTAGCTGTAAAGTCTGTTTGTAGTTGTTTCTATTCAAGAACACTGTCAGAGTAGGACATCCCTTTGAGGCTGAGAATAAAGATACATGCTCTTTATTTCAGAGCAGAAATATTGTTTGTAAAGTGGTCACAAATTTTGTACATAATTACACAATCTCAGTTGAAATTAAGGGATTTGGGATTAAGATGTTAAGAGCTCAAAACAGAAGTCCCTGAGGACCCGAGCTGGGAACCAGTTGATTAAGAAGATAAGGCTATGAAGGCACTGCGCAGATCGATTCTTCCGAGCCAATAAAGAACGAAACGCTGCGCATCTGCAAATCTACAGCGACGCAATCCTGTCTCTGTATTTAAGTGGGTGTGGCAAACGTTTTACGTAGTGTGGCGATGTCCAATTGGTATTTTTCGGCTCTGCCAATAGAAATTTGTGTTGCTCTATGAGGTAGGTTGCTATGGTACTCTAGTCCATTTATATGATCCTTTACTGACAGGTGGTCTTTGTTGTGATTGGCTGAATGTGGTAGAAATGGCTGTTGCGTTGTTGATCGGTTTTTGTCAGATTGTTTACAACACTCGTTCCTCTGCGACAGGTCTTGTATTTGGAAATAAGGGCTACACTGAATATGAAATTCCTGTGAGAATGGATTGAGGTAAGAAACCCGTGTTCTGTTTTTTTAGGGGGTGAATTTAAAATCAATAGCTCTCCTCCGACGTCGCTTCGAGATTTTCGAATGATCATGTTTTATGAAATATTTTGACGTGTAAGATACTTCATATTTCATCGTCCTCGTCCGGTATTTAGTTAATTTTATTTGCTGTCATAGGGTTGGCGAGATGTTTTCGGCGCGGGCCTAGCGTACTTACCGTTTACGTTGTGTTAAGAATAAAAAATGAACAGTTGGTTAAGCTGTTAAAACGAAGAGTAATTTTTGAGGAAATAAATGTGTTATGTAAGCGGTTATGTAGAGTTTACATTATTGGTATGTCAAACAATAAATTTATCTCTAAAAGCTTTTCCCCCGTTTTTAAATGTGTAACCCTTTACAAACACCTGAATGTGATGCATTACTTCTTAAAAGTACTGTCTATCTCTCTGAAGTTGGGCCGCTGACTTTTTAAAAAGGTCTCGATAGTATCTGTAACAGAAAGGTGTGCTTGTGACAGTACACTTTCATTCCGTTCACATTTTGTGCTAGGATTATAGTGAGTGACAATGGGCTTTTGCGATTTAAGGTTCTTCAATGACGTTACCTCTCACACAGGACAAATCTGTCGCAGAATTCGTTTGGAAACGTTATACTGGACTGATATAAGAACATAAGAAAGTTTTCTTAAAGTGACAAGTTGACATGTATAATTTACTAACTATGCTTGAATCTGTCAGTTATAATTTACGAACAGCGGTGGTCCTAGTATAGATTCCCTGCAGTACTCCACTAATGACATCACTCCATTAGTGCTTTCTCATCTTTTCTGAAAGATTTGCTCTCTGTTCACCAGTATTTAATCCAAATGTTACGTTGCCTTCTGACTCACAATTGAGAATTAATCATAGAGGAGCTAAATCAAAAAACATTTTAACATCTAAATACATTGTATATATTGTAGCTATATGGTAGCTGTAAAAGTTTTTTTTTTTTACGTGTGTATGAGCTGTGTTTAGAGTGCAGAAACCTTTAGTGGGTCTGTTGTATGAGCACTTGGTAGTAAAAGAGCTGATTGAGCACAGCTGACGATGTGATTTAACTTACTGTCTGTAGTGCCACCCCTGGTGAATATCAAGGGAAAAAAAACAGAAAAAAATGAATATGACATGTTTCTTAAGAGTACAGTGCCTTTCTGCCATTGGTATGTTGGAGACATGACTAAGTCACCTAAGGTGGTCTTGCCAGCAGTTAGATTCAAGTCCTCTTTAGCGCTTATATCACCGTTTTGTGCAGACCAGTCTGATGGTCAGAGGATGGGCTGCAGAACTGTATGCTAATTTTGTGCAGCAGGGCCAGTGAAGAGGTCAAGATGTGATGGTCCGGGAAGGAATGTCTAGCCACTACAGAGTTCCATTTGTAATGATTGATAAAAATCTGATTACACTGTCTTACATGGGTCAAGCCCTGGGATATCACCCTTCCTGTGGGCACATAATGTGACTGCATTCCGGCAGATCAACACATATTCTATTTGCCTCTTCACCAGTCCTGAGACCTTTCAACATATGTCAAGAGTTCAGAGATCAGTGAACAGGCACATGGTTGTCAAAGCTTTAGGAAATGAATGTGATAGTAAGACAAGACAGCATTGCTATCTGATGCAAAACAGGCATAGCAGATTTTCACAAATGGCTGGGGGAAATGGTTACAGTTTAAGTTGTCTGCTTTACTAACCTGCTGTTAATATACAATTCCCCTTAACTGACACGCGGTCACTTCTTCCTTTTGCACATGGACTTGATGCTGTTCTAGATGAGTTTTCGAAGGTCTTAGAGGGGGCTATATTGTGCTTCTAATGACATTTGTAAACTGTACAGCAACGCTGTCTGTTTCCTTATTTTTTGTCCTTGCCCCACTCAAAATCTGCAGCACTTTAATGTTTCTTAGACCAGCGGTCTGCAGTTGTAGTCCCTAGTGACTCTAAAGCTTGACAACACTGGTTTAGATTTCATGATGATCATCCTGCAGCCAGATACAGTGGAACTAGACCATTTAAGGCTTTCTAGTTCAGTAACAGGATTTTAAAATCATAAGTTGTTGTGTAAAGACCTAACCACACCAGTTTTTTTTTTTAGCATTTATATACATAGTTAATTGCATTTAATTGAATGGAATTAATTAAAAACCAAAATATTTGGCTTGTCAGTAGCCCTTTTCTAGCATACACTAGATGTATTCAGGATAATGCAAGTTTGGGTTCTGTGAAAGTACAGTAAGTAGTAGAAACAAATTAGGTTACTTCTTTACCCTTATCACATAATATTTGGTCACATCCAAAATTAAGTTTAGCTTCACAATGAAACTCTTAAAAATATTTAAAGGCATTTTTTTGTGATATAATTCAAACTCCTCTGTTTAGCAAGTAACATCAAATGTTTTGTATTTGATTGATTTGAATCCAGTTATTTGTCCTAAACGTTTAATAAATTTGAGGTGAAATCATGAGATCATGATCATTTTATGCCATGCCTTAGTATGTTAAAGGGTTCAATGGCTTAATTTTGACTTGCTCAGTCCATGCCATCATCCTGTTTGGATTTGTTTGCACGGAAGAAACAAAGGTCTTGATGGAGCATTACTTAGCAGACAACATCATGTCTTCTGGTCTCCGAGTAGCAGTGGATTAGAGGTCTAATTAGCGTTAATAATAAGCAGCTTAAACTGCAGGTACTGTAGTTACATGCAAGCAATGAGCACATTGCAGTATGGCGGGACACAGCCACCTGGAATTCACTGAGGGAAAAGAGTTTTTAGTGGTAAGTTTCACTGTAACTTTGATGTCATATTGTTAAGAGCTCGTTTTAATAAAATCTATAGTTTGTGTTTCCCATCTTTGATTTTAAAACAGCTTCCCATTCACCTTTGGGCATCCATGTTGTAGGAAGGGAGATGTAGTGCTGGGTTGGGTGCTTTTATTTAGGACACAAGTATTCTCTCTTGTTGGCCTGTCAAGGTATTGTATATGATTTCAGATTACAGGGCTACCATTGTGTTTTGAGTCTGTAGGAATTAAGTTGTGTAATTAAAATATTTGAATGTCCTAGTTTGCCTCTGATTTTGTTCATCTTTCGCTAGAGCTGTGTGCCAGAGAATTAAAAAAAAGTGTCTCAAACTCGATATACTGTACCACTCAAGTATTTCTTACACATTCAGCTTTTTAATTATTTCTTTTGAATGTACTGTTGTAAGTGGCCATATCACAAACCCGTGTTCTCGCCATAGGAGTGAGCGAGAGTTCACACATTGCGATGTGAAGTGGCCCTTCATGCTCACTAGTGACTGTAAAGACTAATGTAACGCAATGTGTGAGTGGATAAGTAGCAGACATTAAGCCGCAGAAATGTTCCAAATGATCTGCGTGCAGTGTTAATGAGTAAGTAGTATTTGTCGGTAAAACGGTCTTGAAATGGAGAGCAATGCTTCTGTTGGATTAAAAGAGATGTATTCACAGTCCTGCTCCTTTACAATGTAATAGTGATGCTTCATGTCACTGGAAGTGTTTTTGCTTCGTTCTAAGTCGTGGAATATGGCTCTTTGCATACCTGGAAATTATGTCTTTTTTTCTGATGGAAATCGGAGGTTTTACAAGTTACTATGTGCATTTTACTTTTACAGTGGTTTGAAATGCACTCATTAATGGCGATTTGTTTTTCCAACAGTAAAATGTAAAAATAGCATTGCAGTTTCTCTTTTAAGTTTTAACAGGTGTGAAAGCAAATTTCTCATTCACTGTGCAAACTATTAGACTTTTCAGTGGTCAGTAGTAAAATCAATGTTGAATATGTATATTCCTTTGAAGTGTAACTTTTACTCTTTAAAGATATTGTGGTTAAGCTGTAGTCTATTAACACTTTTAAACCCTGTCTTCTCTTGGTAGATCAACCACCTTTTATTCAGCTAGCTTGATTAACACATCAGATAGTGCTTAATCAATTTAGCCATTTTTTTGCAGCGTGATCTTGACAGAAAGCAGAGACTTGGCATGAACTGTGTGTGTGGACACTCCACACATTATGGAAATATTTTCACCATATGTGCTCTATTATGAATTGTACTGTACATGTGACAATGAAATTGATCTGTTCATAAAATTGTTTTTTCATTGTTGATTTCATTATTGTATGCATCAGTCTGGTTTAGTTATGGAATGAGTCAGATTTTCTATGGTTATGAATCATTTCGAGGTCATCAGTCAATCGTGAGAATAAAAAGAGGTGTGTATACTCAAGGCCTGTCCGTGCTTCGTATGTTTGTGCTGGTTGCAGTGCACACTCTCCTGAGGTGCTGTTTTTCTTTGGTTCCCCAGGCAGTGGACCAAGGTGTGGGGGTGAGCTCTGGTCTGGTGCTGGTGATGGCTCGGATGACCCAGGTCTCTGGAGGGCTTCTTCCTCCACTGTCCTCTCTGGTGGGACAGAAGAGGGTTTCTCCTGCAGAGCCGGGGAGTAAAGAAACTGACAGCTGTCAAGACCTCCACCCCAGTAAGTAACACAAATGGACAGTTTTCAGCTTTTTACGTAAAGCATAAAGGAAAATAAATGCAAATATGTCTGTGCAGTGGCTTTGAATGTGTTAATACCTCCGCTTCTGCATGGACCAAATGAAATATATGTAGAGGTCTAAAAGCTTGTGTTTATTTTAGGAGAGTAAAGGTGTATCCTGCTTTTCACTACTGAAAGGTAACTGGACACTTCTCAAATTTATAATCCCCAGAGAGAATGTTTATTTGTGATAAATCATGTTTTTGTGGTGCTACATGGGTCAAAATGATTTCAAGAAAGCTCCATTTAAATTGCATATTACATTAATTATTCTCCTACATAGAAACCACATCTACAATTGCAGCTTTACTTTAGACTTTGTTTAAAAAAAAACCCTGATAAGTTTACAAATAAGATAAAAAAATACTTGAATTCTTTAATACACAGGAAACAGCTCAGCTCTTAGATTCTTCTAATATTCAATGCCTACGTGCACAGGTCACAAAAGAGGTGTCCCCTAGTGTGCCAAAATAGAATACATTGATCATAATCAAGCTGTTTTTACTTGTGTTTTTGCACATTCATTTTCTTTTGTGATTGATGTTTGATAGGTTTGTTGAACTGATACAGGATGATACTACTGAACAGTAAATTGGAATGGGACATTTGCATATTAATTTTAAAAATCCAGTTTTAAAATCTCAAGTATAAAAGATAGGTAATATATAATGGGTAAGAATATTTGTACCATAAAGTAAATATTCTACAAGACTATTCTTTATGGCCTTGTTATTCAGTTGCTTTTTAGTGTACCTAACCTTTGCGTGGGTAAATAGAGAGCAACTCCAGATTAGTCAATAATCTGAGGAAGAGCCACAGACAGGATTTGAACTGTTATCTGAATTGTCCATTCTAATCTCTCAATTGTAAAATCAGTGGCTTCTGTTCAGAAGTTGTGATTTAAATATTTTCAGTGCTCATGCTTGCTCAGTAGAAGATATTCAAGTAGTGGGTATTAAGAATAATTCATTTTTTCTGTGAAAATGTGTACTGAATTTGCAAAAATGAGTCACTCTTTATTTCCTGTCTTGGATATAGTATTTTGCCTACATTATTATAGATTTGAGTTCAATCACTTTAATTTAATTTAAGTGTTGGTTTTGGAAGCTTTCCTGTTTCCCTTGGGTATAGAACAGGGTAATAAACTGAAGACAGTCAGTAATAGTGTACATCATTATGGTTAAGATCAGAGCTCGGAAAATTACAGGCTAATGGTCATTGACCTCCCAAAGTTTGGGGTTGTTTTTGCAGAATTCACAAAAACCTGTTATAAACTGGTCATTTCATTCTCCAGAAAGAAACCTAATTGAATATTTGATGTTCATTCTCAAGAAGGCAGTTCACTAGTGGAAACTAAAGGGTCTGAATGAGCCTCTCTTAAGTATCAGAACCTCATATCGCACTCCATGAGGCATCTTGTCAGTATAATCCATGTAAGGAGAGGATTTCCAATATACTAACTATGGAGCAGTCAATGTGACCCTAGTGGAATTCTGGACATGCTGTTACAACTACAACAAAACCTTTTATATAAAATTGTGTGTGGTTTACTTCAATCTAGTTCTGGTTTTAGAATTTTTAAATGTATGGTATTCGGCAATTCAAGTTAATCTTTTTTAATTAAAATTATCTGTTGTGCTGTGAGCACCAAAATAGTTAATAGGAATATAGAATTGTTCTTTTATGCTTGTAAAGGTTAAATTAGTATTTTTAATATTTTTCCAGTCTTTATTGTGCTTGTTCATTTATTCACTTGTTTAAAATGCTCTTTAAAGTCTCAATATACTTAAATTAAGTAACTGTCTACCTTTTATGTTTTAATGTGTAATCTGTTTCCTCTTTAGTAAAGCCAGAAGACGGGTCAGTAAGTGATGTCACTTATGCACAAGTGCCAGAAGACGCTCAGGTCTGTTTTTTTGTTTGTTTGCTGTCATTTCATTTATTCTCATTCCTTTGCCTTCTCTTTTTCATGAATGATTCAGATGGCCAATTTCGTGCTATAACTTTGGTTGACAATTGCAAAATACCAAATGTATTTGTAGCTTTTTAAATGAATCTCACACTTGTAAAATAAATTTCTTCACATTGACACAGAAATAATTGCTTTGCACGTAGGGTATTGGCTCACAAACTGCTGATATCTAGGACGTCGTAGTGCTTCTTATCCTTAAACATTCCAATGTGTAGCTCCACAGGTAGCAGGGAACCCACATAATCCACCACTGACGCACATCAAGTGCACAAGCGAGGTGGTCAGAACCATGATTTAGTGGCCCTTGTCACTCTGCCGTCTGCTGGTTTGAAAGTTCTGGTCCAGAGAGAGAAGTGGCACCCAGCAATCTGGTTTACCGACGACTCCCATCCCAGACGAGATGTAAACAGGAGAGCTAACAAGATCAGGCTGCTGTTACCACTTTCGTTATCCAACATTGTGCTGCAAACTTTAATATTGAGAAGGCATTTTTGCCCCTACATGTTTTTAGTGTGTACTAATGCACCACAGCTAACCTTCCTTTCTGTATTGTTTCATAGATTTCGGCTTCTGTTGAAGGAAATAAACTGCAGAAGAGAACAACTAGTCGTAGACCAGAACCTGTTTGTGATGAGTTTATTCCAAAGGATAAATCAGATGGTATGTTTGGATAGTTTTTCCCCCTTTATTTCTTAATTATCATAAGGAGATCTTGTATCCCAAATGCAGTTTTGCCATTTTTCTTAATCTGTCTTGTGAGAAATGCTTCTAGATATTTCAGCATTGTGAAAATCTTCGTATTGCTCATACTCAAGATTGAATAAGCTTCTTAATGGTGCCTTTAGATCTCCATTCAAGTCAAACAGTATATTGTGTTCATGCAAGTAGTATTAAATGTTGCTACAGGTGCATGTCTTAGCTTCAAATAAACATCTACTTATTGTCAAACCATCCACATCACTGATGCTGTACTTTTAACACTTGATGTTTCTGTTAGCTTTTTGCAGCAGTATTTCTCCATGTGTGAATCATGTAATCATGTTCAAAATTCAACCCATTCCTGGTGTGAATGCATTGCAAAGTCACTTCAGAAAATAGATCTAAAGAATTTAAAGTTACAGGGGTTGGCTGAAGACAACCAACATGTTCGCCGCATGGTTCTGATAAAAAAAATGTTCTAGGTCATGCTACAATCGTGAGGTCTTAAGCTTTTAATCTTTGCATTTCCTGGAATTTGTTGCCGCACCACCCTTAAAAAGAAGTGTTTTCTTTGGCGGGTGTTTTTCCATTGACCAGAGACAAGTGTTCCTTAACAGATTTCCTAAAGATCTAAACCTTTCCCCCAACAAAATAGCATCAAAGCATGGACATGAACCCTTATTCGGCCAAGGACCAAGTCGATGGCCATCATGTGATTCTTCTGTTTCTTTGCACCTCAGTAGCCTGTAAAAGGGAAACCTGAATACTATGATGCTCAAATATCCCTTGTAAATGCAGATGACTTTTTTGCAGTATCTGGTTCACCCAACTACCCAACTAGTGAACTACCCAACTGGTTCACTAGTACTAGTGCTACTGTCTTGAGTGAGGCACAGCCACAAACTTAATTTTTTGTCTGTAGTGTAGATAATTCTAAAACAGAAGTTTTATTTCCAAATTTGACTATTTTGATACAAAAGCAATAAAACCAATTTAATTATGGAACAGTCAGATCATCTCTAACAAATTTAAAGAATTAAGGAAGCTGATACCCTGATTACCTTGCCTTACCTACTACCAATCTGGATGTAATACATGTCCTTCTCTTGTTTGTAGCCTTTTTTGTCTTCTTAGGTAGCAGTAGTAATTCTGTTTTCACCCATGATGTGTATATTTTTAATGATTTATGAGGTAATTGAAAATGTTTTGATATAATTAGGATATATGATTAATCCTTTCCAATGGGAAGATATGTAGATTTGCATAAAAACACATTCACCTGTTTTAGAAGCCCCCCACCTCAGTTACAAGCCAATTGTTCGATTACAACTGTTGGATTGCAGTCAGAGGCAAAAAAAATACTTGTTTAAAATTGTCAGAATTGCAGCCATGAAACAAATTGCTAGAAACTGGTTAAAGCCAGACAGGCCTAGTGTTCAAATACGAAAGATCTCAATGAATTAAATATATCTTATGGCGAAAAGTACAGTATCTGCAGAATACGACACCAACAATGTATATTTGTAAAAAGCTGGTCAAAATTGGAAAGATGTACTGTATAGATACATTCTCTTAGTAATGTGATAACAAAGATGCACAAGACAACGGTAATGTCTATAAAGAGTAATTCTGCTGTTTTAATATTCAGTATACCCCCATTTTGTATTTTGTTTTTCATTTATCTGTTGGAAAAAGGGATATTGTAATCCCAACCCAACTACCATACAGTATAAAAGTAATGAAATATTTTGAAATTTTAAAAAACACCTCATCCTGTAAAATGGATACCTGAATGCTACAATGCTTGAATACCTCAAGGAAATACAACTTTTTCAAATAATTTTTGTGTGAAACTCCCCATTTGATTTTATTAAGATTTTTAGGACGGTGTGGTGACCTTTGCATGCCACACAGCTTTGTTTTCTGTAGGTTAAAATACAAACAACTAAAGCCAAAAAATGGTGGAACAGCTTCTCTAGGTCACCGATGTGACATCATCTCAATGACTGAAAGGGTCTCCAGAGGGTGCTGTTGAAGCATATATGTAGAAAGAATTTGGGTAAGTAATTAGGAAGGTCTTGAGAGCTGTGCAAGGTATTTCATTTGGTTCATGTTGGCTCAACAGGCCATTTTTATTCAGTAACAGAAAAAGCATGATGTCATCTTTATCTTTGTCCTCATTTTTGTCTTTATTTCCAGGTATTGGTGTTCAGATTTCTTTCACAAAGTCGCTGCAGAAGGCTGAGGCTCTCTTAAGGAATCGACTGAACCCCGGGTTGAAGTGGCTCCTGAAACAGAAGTCAGATGGCAGTGGCTCTGATGTGGAAAATGAGGATTCGTTCATTTCCTGTGAGGGCTACACCTCATGTTCCTCAAGAAGGTTTCTGAAGATGGAAAATTGTGTACTTGGACTTGGCAGGCAGTGTCATGTGCTTCGAAATGAGAGGACTGGCTGTCCGCAGAGTTATGTGAAGGAGTTGTCATCTGATTGCGAGTTTTACTATCATCCAGCCTGCATTGCCTTGAATAAGCATTATGGGAAGCTGCAACATTTGCTAGAGGAAAGATCGCAGCTCTTGCTCTTTCATGAGTACACTAGGCGCTTAAAAGCTGCCTCTGCTTTCATTGCAAATCTTTCAGGATTACTTGACAGGGAACGCCTTCGGTTAAATGCATCAAGACAAGATTTGGAAAGTGCGAGTTCATTCTCGGAATACAGGATTAGCACTCTTTGTGAAGAGTTAAGAATTCATGTCTATCACTGGAGCTGTCTTCGCGATAAAGCAAGAAATGACAACTGGCTGAGGCCTGTCCTTTTTCAAAAGCCAGAAATCCTTGAAAGCATGAAACGAACTTTAAATCTTGTGGCCTTGCAAGCTCTGGTGCTTATGGAACAATACATTTGCACAGTTTTTCATGTTTTGGCATTAGCTGACTCTCCTGATGTGTCTACAGATTCCCTGGAAGATGTATTGAATGGAACTGAAATTTTTAATTCACTGCTCTCTGACACGGTTGTGGAGCAACCATCTTATGTGCTGCATAAGTATTGCCAGCAAGACCATGACTGGTTTATTTCAAACCTGTTGAAATCCATATATTCTAAACGCTGTGACAAAGGGGACTCTTTGACGCCTTTCTCAATTGTACGACTTCTGAAGATTGTATCAAAATGCAGAGGACAAGTGGCAGCTAATAAGTTGTATCATTGGGTCACTAATCAAGATGCTTTACTTTCCAGTGCAGAACAAAATAGTTTAAGGTCCCAGAAATGGGAGAATATAAAAGTGGCTTGTCTACAAAACCAATTGCGTTCTGTTACCAAGACAGCCAAAACTGGCATTTCACGAGCAAAGGTTGGTGAAAGCCAGTTCAGGTCATGCCTCAGCACTCAGACTCATCCCTTAGCAGTATTTTTAAAATGGGACAAAGACTTTATGGATAAGTTTTGTTTGGCTTTGGTATCTTCTACTGAAATGATAGGGCAACATGTTCTAAATAGGCCCACTCCAGACAAGCCACGGATAGAGTCACCTGGAAAGAACTGCACAGAAACTATGGATGATGAGGCAGAAGGTGACCCAAATCTCTGCAAAACTGAAGAGAAGACCAATGCTAGAAGACTAATACGGCACAAGTCAGTTCAGTGGCAGGACACTACTGTTTCAGAGGCAACAAGCATACTGTTTTCCCAGTACAGAACCTTGCTGTGGGAAGAGTTTGGCAGTGCTCTTTTCAACATTTTGTATCACCCCAGCTGTAATGGTATTTTTGGAAGTCTCAATCAGTGCAAAGAACAAATGGTTTTTCTTGCTGTGAAAGAGCTGCATGGTGGATGCAGAAAAGGTAAGAATACAAAAACAATGAACAGTAGATTATTACAAGTGAAAGGAAAAGAAAATACCCTAAACAAAGGTGTGTTGCAAAGCTGGTTTTTGTATCATCCAAACATGTTGTATGGTATTTTATAGACGTGTTGTGGTTTAGAGTTTTAAGTCCTGTGCCACCTGTTCCTACTCAAGTATGACTTAAGTTTCTTGTGGTGGTTTCAAAATTTAAGCTGCAGGGGAAAAGCAATGTTTGCAAAATGCAACGTTTGTGCTGCACTGTAACAGAAATTTAAAAAGTTGTGTTTCACCTGTTGCAGCAGTTCAAACCAGATGGTGACTGAATGGCCCACTGAAAGCAATTTCCTATGACAGTGAGGGAATATCATGTCTCTGCTTGTAGTACTGAACTGCTAGTTTTGCCAGTTAACATTACCAAATGAATAATTTGTCAGAAAATAAAGGCTCTTTCTTCTGGAAGATAATGTAAATCTTCAAGTCTATACTGATAAAGTTTATAGGTGCTGCTTTTCTAGAGTTTTCCAGTTTTCAGCGGTCTGTATCCCTTTTAGCACTAATTAGCTGTCATTGAGTCTTCATTAAGTATTGAAAAGTGATATTGCTCTCGGAGATGAAGAAGATTAATTTACAGTTATTTGAGGTGAATATTGTACACTGCATATCCATTCATTAAAATAGTTTTCTGGACCTCTTCTTACCTTAAAAATGAAAAAAAATCCACTCAACTGAACTGAGAAAAGCTGAAATACAAATTTGCTTTAATGTTTTTAAACTGAAGAGGAATTGACTTCTATTGACTTCAAGGAGTGTCTTGTACCTAAAAATAAACCTGGAAAAAGGAGCACCATATCCATGTCATCTTTGTGACAGACACTGTCCTGTTGTAAATCCATAAAATACTCATGTGTGAGGCAAGATAATCCTGTTTTTTAGCAAAAGAGATGTGACTTAAATGAACTGCACTGAAGACCGTTTTAGTCTCAATAGCGTAACGCATACGGTCGCCATTGCAGGTTGTGCGAGCCGGCTTACCAGCGCAGTGCCGTTGCCGCCCTTCCCTGTGAATAGCAGGGACCGCAGCCGTCGGGCTGACGAGAGATTTCCCTTTAGCTCAGCTGGCCGGGTCCCTGTTGAGTGACGCCGGAGGCCCAGGTTCGAGTCTCCAGCAGTGCAGGGGCCGACCTGAGGCGGCAGTGGCCAGGGCGCATACCCACGTGAACCCGAGAGCGCTACAATATGATGCATATACAGTTTTGTATTGAATTTTTTTAAACCCTTTCAGCTATGAAAGTATATTTCCACTTTAAATATAAAATACATTTTTATTGAGTTTTTTTTTTACACCTCTACACCTTTTCAACAGTGAAGGGATTGGATATTAATATTTTTCATTATTTAAAAGTTTTTGTGTGTCATGTAAAAGCCATCTCTTGTGCACGTGGTAGGTGATGCTTTTGACCATTTCCCATTTTTAAGACCAAAAAGGCTGCAAGTGGCTCATCTAGCTCATTTGGTTGCTAGTCATTAAAGACTTCAAGATGTCAAAACCTTTCATTTTCAAGATGTTATTACTAATGAACAGTGAAGTATGACTCAGGGGGCACGAGTGGAAATTTAGGTTGTTCCTTGAAAATTGGGCATAAGAGGCACTTCACCAAAAGCGCTCTTTGAGAGTACAGAACAAGCTATCCAATGATGTTATTAAAGCCAATACTATGGCTTTAAAAAATCTGGCTGGATGACATCCTTGGGTCCAATTAGCTATTGGCTAATGGGCCGAATGGCTTTTGGTTATTTGTAATTTAAGTTTTCTGACATGTATATTTGCTCTCTTTACCAAAACCTTTCACACTTAATGGAGTTTGAAAAATGTGTTCAAAGAAAACAAGCTGCTGTCAGTGTTTTGTTCGTGTTTGTTTGGTTTTTATTTCGAACTATGATTACATGCCTGAATGAATTCCAGTTTGATGCCTATTAGTGTGATATGTTGAGATACTGAAGACTTGGAATGTGTATATGGCAAGCAATTTTCTAGCTAATGAATTATCCTGTGCTTCCTGTCTGGATTTCAAACACAGTTTGGCTGACATTCCTTTTTACTCTATACATTTCAGCACTGATACCTGGAGAGTGTGAAGGAGTGATAAATGACCTTTGTATGCAAGTGATTTCAAAGGCAGCCTTTGTGCATTGGGACCAAGGTAACCGGTAATGAAATACTTAATGCTGTAGAGGGCACTAAGGTAATGCTTGAAGTTATTAGGTTTATTTTCAGATGTTGGCTCATAATTATGAAAATTTTCCAAGAAATACAAAGCTTGGACCTTTAGTTTTTTTTTTTCTGCTTTACACATTGCTTCTTTTTATGTACACATACTTATTGCCAAAATAAGTCTGAGCTATAAATCTCACTAACAAAGCTTTCTGCCTGACTGCGGAGTTAGTTCCTTTTTCTTTGTCCAGATAAACCCCAGAGAATTCTCTTAAACCAAATTTAAGCGAAGCAAAATTATTTTTTTCTCAAGTGTCTTGTCCTATTACTTTTGCACCTTTACACATCTACACTTAGGCCTACTTTCAGGAGTGGGGGAGAAGAGTTTCTTCTGGAACCAAAAGCTTTCACAATTGCTCTGGAAAGATTTTTTTTTTATCACAATTGTTCAGTACTGTTTTTCAGAGATGTTTGTCTCACTCAAGTGCGGCGCCTTCCAGAAGTATTCAAACCCTTACACGTTTTTCACTTCTGGTTGACTGAAAGTTTTAAAGCTTTCAGTCATGGATGGATATGGTAATGTGGAAAAGCAACACAGGTCAGAATAACCTTAACGGGCCACACATTTGGTTCAGTGGCCTCTGAATTTGTGCAATAGTAGAGGTTCTCATTATTTCAGAATAGAAACACCTCTGTGTTAGGCTCTTTGGTCAGGTAGTGCTTTTGAAGCCGATTAAACTGTGAAAACTAAGGATCTTTACAAGCAAGTTAGTGATAAATTCAGCTGAAATGTGCAGATCAAGAGAAGGGTATGTGAAATCACTGAATATCTCTGCAAGTACAGTCTACTCAAACATTAGGAAGTGGAAGGTACATTATACTACTTGGACATGGCATAAATCGGGCCATTCCTCCAAACTGAGCAGAGGAGAAAACGAATGAAGGATGCCAGTGCGAGGTCAATGGCAGCTTCAAAGAAGCTACAGAGTTCAGTGGTTGAGGTGGGGTAAATGTGCATCAATCAACAAGATCCTAGTCACTCCACAAGGCTGGCCTGTGTTACCAAGTGGAAACCCTATTTTGATTACTGCATGGGAGTTACAACAAAGAACCTGAGTGACCTGAGGTGTTGTGGTCAGATGAGACCAAATTAGAGCCTTTTGGTCTTAATGCTAAACATTATGCTTGGTGCAGACCTAACATAACACAACTCCCATGCTATGGAGAGTCTTCTCCTTAGCAGGGACTGGAAAACATCTTTGGATTGAAAGAAAAAGATTAATGCACAGGCAAATACTATTTTAGACTGCTAAGGACTAAAATCTGGGGTGAGCATTCACCTTTCAGCAGGACAGTAATCCAAAGCACAATGTCATGCTACACTGGAGTTGCTTAAGAAAAAGTAAATGAATGTTCTTAAGTGGCCTGGTCAAAGTCTTGACTTGAAAACTGCTATTCATAAGAGATTCACAACCACCCTGAGAGAGCCTGAACAAATTTGCTATGAAGAATGGGCAAATATTGCACCGAGTTGGTAGAGACATACCCCAAAAGACTTGAGGCTGTAATTCCTGGTATTTACAAAAACTGCTTCCACCAAGTTCATCTGGTCTGAATACTTTTTGTATGCAATTCATGTTTCTCTTCAGTTTTTGCTAACATTAATTTAACTTACCTTTCCCTTAGAAGTCTTGAGTTTGTGCATTCATGTTTTTAATAAAATGTTAAGTTTAAAAAGAGGTATGCATCATTTTGTAATTTCATAAAATAGGGCACCATAGGAAGGGCATGAATGCTTTTCTGTATGTAGGCACTGTTTACAGCGTAGCGTACTTGTGAACTTTTGTCATCCCTTAACTGTCATCTTTAAAAAATGGCAAAAGAATCTTTAAAATATGAATCAAATATTCCATTAACCATATTTTGTGGTTCTACCAATTTGTTCATGGGGGCGAGCACACGTTAAAGCAAAAAAATACAACAACAATTAGTCATAGAGGATTCATAGGATATGGTATGATTATATCATATTTAATATGGTACATTATGTGCTTCATTTACATAGAGCAACGGTCCAGAACAGTGTACAAGTCAGTAGTTGCAAATGAAGTAAAGATTATTTATCAGTTTTCATGCTCCTATAGTGTTTTTTGCTTCAGTTTTAAGTTAATACAGGCCCCCATGGAAACCAGTCCTTTCTTCTTACAGAGCACAGTAATAGGACTGTCTACTTGTGTGTTGGCAAAATGTACCTGGAAAATTGTGAATTGCTTAGATTTATGTAAGTTTGGACTTTCTATGTCATCTTTATAGTGATGTGCAAGGCTCTTGGTTCAGGACAGAAAGACAAATGCCTTCCTGACCCAAACAATGAGGGGTCCATTGTCCGAACCACCACCACCACATGGCTCCTTCAGCAGCTGTTTCATCCCCTGCACACTGTGCTCGGCTCTCTGAAGGATGGCGGAAACTGGCAGAAAGGTAACCTTTGTTCTTCAGAGGCATGTCGGCGGTGTGCCCCCACCCACACTCCATTTCCTGGTGTCTCAGTGAACCGTGTCTATTTTGAGTCCAGGCTGCAATAGCTACTATTCCTCATTGAGAACCATAATGTTTTTATTAGTGAAACCTATAACATTTTTTTTTTCTAGGTTTGGGAACTTTGTGAAAAATATCTCCCAAGTGAAGAGGTTCAGGTCACGTTAGTCCTGGAGAAAGAGTCACCAGTTGTCTGTCCTCCCTTGAGTGAGCTTTGTATAAAACATGCCTTTTTTAACAATATTGCAAAAGTATTCCCAAAGTAAAAAAAAAATATATATTATTTTAAGACAGGACTGGAAACGTGTAAAGCTGAAGCAGTTCAGTTTTCTAACTGTTTTGATCTTATTTACTTTTAGACAATTTGCAGATTTTGTTAATTTTGTTTGAGGTAAATTGTTTTATTCTCAAATTGGAATTCATGTGGTGCTTCAGTGTTACACATTTCTAGTGTTCATGTCTCTAAATAAGTAACAGCTTCAACTGACTATCTTATTTTTGTAAGTATAAATCCTACTTTACATTCTTTAATCTTGTGAGGCCCAAGTAGAGGGTTCTTGTAATTCTCTGTTCTGGAACACAAACATTACGATGTTAAAATTAGGAGTTTTTTTTTTGCTTTTAGTGTTGGAAAGCTAAACCCGTGTGCCTTCAGTTTGCACCGAAAAACATTCCTTTTTCACAAAATTAAGTTCACCCTCTGTCGGAGGCCATAATGACACTGTGATTACCTGGTTTCTCCAGTTACTCCTATGAAACAGTGAGTCAGTCTTTATATATTGAGGAATTAAGAAGGCAATAAATACTTTTGGTTCCAATACTCATTTGTTGCATTTTTTGTTCCTCTCAGTATGTGAATTGGTATATTGCAAATGCTTGTGCTGGTTTCCAGTGCTTTTCAAGTGAGAGCTTAGTATGTATACCGATTTGTGTAGACGGTTCTGTTCAGTACAGATTGTATTCATTATAAAATAACAGGTTGTATGGTCTATAAAATAGTTTTAAAGCACCGTATTGCATGGTGTAATGGTTAACATTTGTGCTCTCAATAAATCATTAAGCAGGTTGGTTTCATTAACTATATCATTGAGAACATTTTATGAGCACTCTGGAGTTGCCAAATGAAAATCTGTTTTTTTTAGCTTAGTGGGGGGGACCCACAGGGAATGTGGCTGAGACTGTTGTGGTTCAGGAAGTGAAAGTCTGCAATTTTCCCTTCTCTGCACCCCAAAGACCACAACTGAATTGGCATTGCTTGTCCATGTAGCATACAGGTAGGCTGAGCCTGTTGCCCCTGGGGTCGGTTATTTCGAAATACATAGAACGGTATTTGCCCAAGTGAAAAGGGGAACTTGGATTATTGATGAGAGCATATTCTTTGAACAACACTACCAGCATTTTTTGTTCTGCCAGTGCACAGCTGTTTTATTTGTGCATAAAAATAAAGGATAAAAGTAAGCAACATTAAAAATAGTTTTTAGTTTAATTCACTGCCAGAATCTGTATTTTTTCTAAATCGTCATTTTGAGAAATCAATAAAAGAGTACTTTAAAGGAAATTGGCTACATTTTCAAACATGTAGGAGTCAAAGGAATTTGTTTTGGAGGGAATTAAAGTATTCACCATATGAAACTAGAATTAAACCTCTTTAAAGGCAGGAGTAAGTGAATACCTGTTCCTTTCTTAGTACTTTTTCTACATTTAATTTTCTTTCATAAAGCTTGCTTCTGTGAGTAAAAAAAACAAGAAAATACACCTTTACAGTGTGGTAATATAGCAAAATAAAGTTTATTGGAATGTTTCTTAAGTATAGAAATGAATAACATGGGTTTTTCCAAATAATAACACTGAGTTGTTCTATTTTAATTCCCTGTTCTTTGTGTAAAATTGCTTTTTTTAACTGTTTGGGGTGTGAAGTAAGAAAGGCATTTTCACAATGCAGTATGTTATCTTCCATTTGTTGGGTCTTATGTTGTAGTCTTATGAAAAAAAAAATATTCTTTAAGGGTCGGACACATGCTTGAGGCTTAGGTAAATTAATCATGGTCTGTCCTGAAAAACCATGTTATACTTCAGTTTTGTGCAACATACCCTCATAATCTGTATCTGTCAAAGAAGGAAGACACCACCTGGACTAGTTAGGTTATCCAGAGATATTTCTAAGTCCTCTGGGTTAGAAGTTGTTTTTCATTACTAAAGTAATTTCCGAGATGTTTAGCTTCCAGATAGCAAAAGCCCACTGACTATAGTGGTTAGAATACTTCTTAAAAAGCCGGGTCCTTATGTTTCATTTGACCTGATGTGTATCATTTTTCTAATGTTTTGTCATCGGATTTCTCTTGTTAACAGTTGCAGCTGTTTCGTGGGTAAACTAGTAAACAATTCTTTCCTCAGTGCTTCATCAGGTTAAACCGGTAGATTACAGTGTCTTGGTTTAGTCATGTCATGGGCCGTTTGCCAGTTAAAGTCACACTTGCTCTAGACCACCTAATATTACTCAGAGTTCTTAGAGTGAGCTCCCGGTCATTTAGAAGGTAAAAGTTACAATTTGTTTTATTTTCTTACATTGTTCAGTAAGGGGAAGTTTCTTTTGTTGCACCAAACATGCTAGGAAATCAATTTGTGTGATTTTTTTTAAATCTGTTTCTAAGGTATTCTATTGCAAGGTTAGAAAGTTGGCGACAAAAGGGAGAAATAATCAGGGAACCCAAAAATAACTACACTTTTCCTCCCTTAGCTGCTAAAGACTTAAAAATAAAGTGGATTCCTTGTGGAACTTCTATACATATAATATAGAATAAAACAGGTGTAACAGTACGCCCTTATATGATGGTTTTATCTTAAAGCCCTGCTGGGTGTTGAGAAAGACCAACATTACCACGGTCTTACAGCTCATAAAGGACAAATACTTCAACTGTCTATTTTCCTCAAGTTTAGTAGAGTAAACCAGTGATTTAGTTTATCTAGGGAGACTAAACTGTACTAGTTCAGGTTTGGACACTGTTCATGACTGCTCTTAGCCATAGCATTTGTTTCTTCTTTGAAGGTGCTACTTCCAAAACAGAACATTTGTCGGCTCAGGAATTGCTTCAGCTGACTCTTCTGAGTTGCACTGTTGCCACTGTACATTCTTCCTCTTACTGGGCGATGACCAAGGCCTACCAGTTTCTGTCATCCTGGTCTCTGAATCAGTTCCTTTTGGTGACACAAGGAGATCTGAAGGTAAGAAAGCATCTGTGTTTCAAGTACACAAATTATTCTTAACTAAAGTTTTTCTGTTTGTTTTTTTTCATTAGTGGATTAATGACCCCGAAAATAAATCTCAGTAGTACAACTCTATTCTCTGTGCATTTTGAATCAGTCATGAATGGAAACATTCCTATTATGTCAGTAAAAAAAACCTTTACTTGTATTAGAAAATGGGATGTGATTAATGATTGGCATAACCATCCAAGGTTTATTCTTAAATTCAAGTGTAAAATCCGTTGTGTAACCTCTCATTAAAAGAGACATGTCTTGTTCTGTTTTGACTGTCAATGGAATGATCAAATAAACCTTAGAATTACTGGTGGCAAAACGAGCAATATTGGGACTATTAATACTCATTTTTGAAATATTAGCAGTGTATAATACCGTATGTTCAGGCTTCTGTGTTAAGTTCAGGTTTTTAAACCATGTTAAGGTATTTTTTTAAGTCTATTTCTGTGTGATACAGTGCAGAAAAAGGGCTCTGGACTGATGTTACTGCAATATAGGAGTAAGGAGAAATGTGATTTGTAGCTCGAGTTAATAAGTTTAAGGTTTTTAATATTCTCTTTTGTCAATGGAAACTTTGATCTCTGCAAAGCTGAAATAAACAGTCAACAGGACTAGTTAACAAAGATGCAAAATGTTCTCTTATTTTGTGTACTTTTTTGAAATCCAACTGAATTTTAGCCATAAACTGGTCAACTGAGCTGTTTACATTACTATGTAAAGTTGGCAGGAAAAGATTTCCCTTTTCCCTTGTAAATTCAACTGTTTATGTGTAAAGGTGTAAAAAAACAGTAAGCTTATTGTAACTGTTTTACCAGAATCTGGTTGTACAGGATCTACATGAAAAGTTTGCATACCACACAGCCTGTTGTAGCGAAATGGGGAAAAGTCTGTGAATGAAAAGATCAGAATGTTTTTCTTTGCAGAAACAGAGCAGTCTAAATGAGATGAGATTGTGAAATTTCCTAACAGAATGATGCACTACTAAGAGAGGGAACTACAACGTTAAGTCCCGTTAAATATTTTGCAGAAATAGAAATCTATTGACACTTTGAAAAATATGACTCACTAGATTAATAATATTAAACCATGCTTATACTGTATTGAGGGAAAAGTTAGAGAAAAAAATAGTTCAGTCATATCATGTTAATGATCTGTGAATTAACTGTCTAATAGATCTTCAGAAAGATAACTTGCTTATTGATCTATTAGATATTACAGATTTGAGGAGGTCTGGTTTTTAGTCTTTATAGGTTTTGTAATGTGAATACATCTTTAATTTGATGTAGTGTTTCAAAAATAAAAAGCACCTTGCCCTTATGTCATACTAGCAGACATGCAAATATACATAGTGCTTGATAAAAGGTTATCTCTTACACTATGCAAAAAATATTCTTGAAGTAAAATGAGTTGCTATGTTTTATTATACAATGACCTTTCCAGTGTTTGTGTGCAGGCCTTCCTGGTTCGTAGATTTTGACTTTTTCCTTTTTCCTTACTTAAACAAAATGTTAAATATTTTGGGTGCTGAAAAAACATTTGGATATTTTGACTTTAACACAAAACTAAAGGAGCTGTTTACAGTATATCTTTCAGCACTCACTGTCCTCGTCAAAACCTAAATATTGTTATTTGATCTTAGCCTTGGCATCCTGTCTATTCCAAAAGATCTAGCTTCTGAAGATCCAATTGAAACTGAAAAAGAGGTGAAGCCACAGTATGTCATCGGTGTCCTGGTTAGGCATCTAATGCTGCACCACTGAATTTGATCTTTATATGATACCATATTCTTGTCATTTAGCACTCCTAAAGGCACTGTCTTTTGTAAAGCCTTTTTCAGAATTATTTTGTTGTAATTATTTTGAACACCATCTTTTCTCCAAGTGCTTTCTGAAGTCAGATCATTTTCAGGCATGGGTGACACCTCCGAAATGCTGCTCACCTCAACCAGGCTCTTGTGGCTTGTCCACTATTGTATGCAAATGACTGCAAACTTGTCTTATTAATATTAATTAACCCAGTATTTTCTTATTAGCAAAGGTATCTGGGTCCCAACATAATTCTGCAGACCTCATTCTTCACAGGAGAGGCTGTTCTTTACCCAGAGTTCTAATTATACTTTTCCCCAGGGTTGAATAGCCAACTTGCCACGTTTTACACAATAAAAGACATCTTTTTCTTTCAGTACTCTCCATTTTAAACCAACTAGAGTTCCTTCAAGAGTCCTTCCTTATTTGATCACCAAACCTTTGACAGACAATACTGTCAAAGTATCTGGGCTTGATGAAAAGCATGGTTTTGCCTCACTCTTGTTTATACATTGAGCACAAGCCTTCGTTGATGACAGTTGTGCTCAATTAACTCATGGCAAATATACTTTTAACATAAATAAACAGTGGTCAGCTGAGAAATCTATTTTGTCTGTATTCTCTTTATGGATCTACACAATTTAAATGGAGATAATTACATAGGCTAGGGACAGTGCCATATCCCTGGCCCATAATGAACACCCTCTGTAACCTTACTCCATAGTGTTGTGTAATCCCCACCCCACCCCCCAGCTCTGACCCAGAGGTCTCTTGGTTTGACCTGCTGCCAGAGTCAGTGTGCTCTGGAGATTCCATCTGCATTGCTGTGTTCTGACCCTGCCCTGTGCTCCCCAGTAAAATTAAAATAATGTAATCTAAGGGACCACCGTCTTCCTGGAACACAGGGTCTGTCTCCTTTTTCTGGAACTGCAGGATGTAAATGAGGTTAAAAAGGGTAGAAACTTTGCAATGTTCTGGGCCCAAAATAGACACCTTCCCTAACTTCTCCCAATACTTTGTCATGTGTGGCAAATGAAAGAAGGAAGTGATCACAACATTTAGAAAAGTAACCAACGTAAAACGCATGGCTATGTTATATTTCTTACTTTTAGTTAACATTTAGAATATTTACCAGAAATCTGTAACTGTGCATATTCTGAAGATGGCTTATAAAAAGAGTGATTGTGTACTACAACAATTAACATGTCAACCAAACAGTCAAATTAGAAGCATCAGAGAATCTTGGAAATTTTGTATGGCATATTCAACACAACTATGCTAAATATAGATATAAATTACCGAATAGTGTTTTCAGCTGTCGGCTAGCTGAGTAGCTTTGGCCAGATAGTAGATCATATGAACAAAAGGTTTTCTTATTTTTTTAATTTAAATCTGGCTTTGAAAATAAATAAATCCCACATTTCATAATTTTTTATATGGTCTAAACCTTTGGCCATCTCTTTATCGGAGGCTCTGCCAGTTTTTTGCTTGCACTCCTCTATGAATAGCCATAAGGAAGTCTGACGCGCTGAAAGCCAGATGTATGGTTTCTTTGCCATTTTGTCTTCTTGCATTTAGTGAATTTATGTATTTTCAGTGATATGTTGCAAGAGATAAAATTTGGTGTGTTTTAAATGTAATGTTTGAGAGTGAAGTGTATGCTATGCATATCATGTTTTCTTACCAGTCTCATTATATTAATTGGATTTAGAGGGTTAGAGTACTCCTGCAGTACAGTACCAAAAGTACCAAGGACCCTTGCCCAGTTTTCACATTTAGTTGTTTTAAGGCTTGTAGCCATTATACTTCAAAGCAGAAATGAATACTTGTTGTACAAACACTCCACACCACACATTCAAAGCAACAAAAACAAAGAAATAAATAGGTAATATAAAATAAAAATAGAAAGGAAATGAATGTATAAGCAAGTTCTTTGCGATGGTTAACCAAAATTAAATTACGTGCTAAAAAATTACCTTAACAAACCATACAGTTAGTTGAGTATCCTCCGTCTACTTGCCATAGTGGTTTTGTTGGTTTCAGAATAAAAACAACTGTTTGAGAGGGGTTTTTTTTGGTCAGGGAGTGAATGTTAAGCAAAGATTCCACAATAAATACTAAGCAGCTTTCAAAGCAAAACAGTGATACTGTAGTCATTGAAAACTGCAATAAATGTGGCCAAAGGTAATTTCGTCAGATGAGACCAAATTGGAACTTTTCTGCCTAAAATGCTTGACATTTGTGTAGTGCTTAATCCAGACCCAACATAGGACTTCTCCTTGTCAATACCACCCCTACTGCAAGCATGGTGGAGCCACAGTATGTTATGGGATGCTTCTTCTCAGCAGGGACTGGAAAGTAAGGATTGAAAGAAAAAGGTTACAGACAAAGTACAGACAAATAATTAAGGAAACTTGGTTTTAGTCTGCTAAAGACTGAAAACAGGAGTGAAAATCTAGTTTTCAGTAGCACGGTGATCTGAAGGTCAAAGCTACACTGGATTGACCTACGAAAGTGAATGTTTTTACTGTAAGTGGTCTGGTCATAGTCTTAATTTGAAACCTATTGAGAATTTGTGGGAAGACTTGAAAATGTATGTCCACTAGAGAACCCCAAGCAACTTCAGGCAGCTTAAGCAAATTTGCCAGGAAGAGTGCACATCCCAGTGCCTGTGAAACCTGAAAGTAATCCTTCATTGTATAGAATACAGTATATGACTTACAGATGAATATGTCTTATACTTTTATGTATAAGAGCGTTACTGATCAGGTGTATTAATACAATTTAATATAGAAAAATAAATACAGACTATTATTATATGTAGTTGGTTCTCTCAAGCAACATATACAGAAAATCAGATTTACAGAAACTTCCCAAGACGAGTCTGTCTCTACCCTAGTGTGATTAGTAGTATCACCCTTGGACAGTATGTCACTTTATTGGTATCCATTTTGTATTTGTATCTCAAATAGTTGTTGTTTTTCATAGAATTATTTTCTTTTTGAGCATTTATAAATTTTAAACGTTTTAATGATTGCATGAATGAATGTGGATAAGGATTTTGTACACTAAAAGTTTTCAGACTTCTCGTATTTCAAATTTTATTACGAATGTTTGCATCTACACCCTTGTTTAACTTGATACCCACAATTATGTTTT